TCCATCATCCATCCATCATCCATCATCCATCCATCATCCATCCATCCATCCATCCATCCATCCATCCATCCATCCATCCATCATCCATCCATCCATCCATCCATCATCCATCCATCCATCCATCCATCCATCATCCATCATCCATCATCCATCCATCCATCCATCCATCCATCCATCCATCATCCATCATCCATCCATCCATCCATCATCCATCCATCCATCATCCATCCATCCATCCATCCATCCATCCATCCATCCATCATCCATCCATCCATCCATCATCCATCCATCCATCATCCATCCATCCATCCATCATCCATCCATCATCCATCATCCATCCATCATCCATCCATCCATCATCCATCCATCATCCATCATCCATCCATCATCCATCATCCATCCATCCATCCATCATCCATCCATCCATCCATCCATCCATCCATCCATCCATCATCCATCCATCCATCCATCATCCATCCATCCATCCATCCATCCATCATCCATCCATCATCCATCCATCCATCCATCATCCATCCATCCATCCATCCATCCAATCATCCATCCATCCATCATCCATCCATCATCCATCCATCCAATCATCCATCCATCCATCCATCCATCATCATCCATCCATCCATCCATCATCCATCCATCCATCCATCCATCCATCCATCCATCCATCCATCCATCCATCCATCCATCCATCCATCCATCCATCCATCATCCATCCATCCATCATCCATCCATCCATCCATCATCCATCCATCCATCCATCCATCATCCATCCATCCATCATCCATCCATCCATCCATCCATCCATCCATCCATCCATCCATCCATCCATCATCCATCCATCCATCCATCCATCCATCCATCCATCATCCATCCATCCATCCATCCATCCATCCATCCATCCATCCATCCATCCATCATCCATCCATCCATCCATCCATCCATCCATCCATCCATCCATCCATCCATCCATCCATCCTCACATGAAGAAGGCGATGGTGGAGAAAACTCCACAGGTGTGGAAGGAATGATTCATCATTTCCTGAGACGGATACATCACTGCAGCATCGATGATGACCCACCAGCCTGTAAAGAACTGCAGAGAAATAAAACATTAAATGATTTCATCCTAACTAGTCTGTAAAGAGTCTCTGAGATCCCTGATGATGAATCCATCCTGCAGATAAACATGAACCAGTTTCTAGAAGAATCCATTAACTGATTCATAAACTACTCCGTGTTCTTTGACCAGAGCGCACAGAGGGACTGATGTGGAGAAAAACGCTCCGCCTTCATAAACTCAACTATTTTCCTCTAATTTAGCTCGCCTCCATCTTTGCGCTCCCTCCCTGATCGGCTGTGTGGAAATGAACGGGACCTCCACCCAATCAGAGGCAGGTGTTCGTCATCCAATCAGTCGCCTTGGACACATCCGGATGGATAAAAACAACCAATCACAGCCAGCTAATCAAAATAGTGCAACTACAGCAGAGATTAAAAACCAAAAGGTAGGATTTAAGAAAAATTAAACAAATAAACACTTAAATGTTCTATATTAAAATTTATTTTAATAAACTTACCAAAACTCTGCTTTTTAGATTTTTTTTTTTACTTTTGAGCTACAAAATGTTGTAAAAATGTTTTATTTTAAGGATTTTTGGTTAAAAGCTCAGAGAGGTGCTGAAATACTTTCTGTGGTTTTCACCAAAGAAAGGCCAATAATCCAGAACATCAGGGAAAGATGTTGGGAGATGATGCGGGGCAGAAAGCAGCTCTAAATATTTTTATTTTCATAAAACCAAAGTTTGCAGCTGCTTTATACCCTGCTACATCATTCAGCTGATTAATAATTAAACATAATTATCAGAGGTTTAATAGAAAAGGCAGAGTTCCCCTCCTCCCAGCCGGGAGCCGGCCCCTCTGCTCCCACTGACCAGAGCTCCAGCCGCCACAGAGGCCACAGCGTTCCTCTTCTCTCCCCAGTCAAACCATTCACACTCCGGCCAGCGGAAGCCGTCCAGGAAGCCAGCCATCTGCAGGTTCTCCTTCCACGGATCGATCCGTCTCCTTGGCTGTCGGTTCCTGCAGCTCCTTCAGGAGGTCAGAGGCTCTGAAGCTGCAGAAACAGGCTGGTTAGAATTGAATCGTTTCAAGGTGTTTGTTACCAAAGCAGGAAATATTTCCAGTTCTTTTCTGCTTCTCGTTCTTTTATTAAGCACCAGAGCAAATCAGCTTCTCACTGAAATAAGATCTAAACAGAAACCTGGAACTTCTATATGATGGTTTCCAAGTTTGAAGACGTTTCTCTTCCCATCCAGGAAACTTTTTCAAAATGTCAGAAATAGCGTTGAGTTTGAGCCTTTATAAAGCGGACCAGAAGGTTTGGTTTTAGGTCCAAACTATAAAACCTGGAACTTAATGCTATTTCACCGGAAAAACAATCTAGAAATAAGTAAAAAATGTCTTAAATTAAGTATATTTACCCTTAATTTGAGTAGGTAAATTAGTTTGCCAATGGAATGAGTATTTTACTCTTAAAATAAGATATTTAGATAACATGCACTCGAAATAAAGCGATGCAACTGTGTTTTCTTATTTTGAATGCAAATTGTCTTGTTCCATTGGCAAAATGTCTCTTTTATCTCCTCAATTCAAGGACAAATGCATTTATTTTAAGAAAAAATGACTGATTTAGATGTAGATTTTTTCCAGTTTTCTGACATTTTGAATTGAAAAAGCTTCCTAGATGGAAAAGAAACGTCTTCAAACTTGGAAACAAAGTCCAGTAGATTTTTTTTTCTTTTTTGGAATGACTAGGACCTGGATGACTGAGAACCTTCACCAGCATATATGATAGTTGCACTTTAACCGCCTTCCTGGTGGAAGATGGTGGTCCTGCAGAAGGTTTTCATTAATCTATAATTATGTAATAATTAGCGTTGCACTGATACCAGTATCAGGCGGGGCCCCGATCCAGCAGTAAAATGCAGGAATTGGTATCTGCGAATACCAACCAATAGGGCCGATACCATTTTGAGAACCAAAAGTCTCTTCAACTATTGTTACCCATTCCAGGTAGGCAATAAAAAGTTCTACTGGATTCACTGTAGAACTTAGTGTATTAGCAGCTTGACAACGCCATGATGGCAATTATTTTTTATCACAGTAGTATCCAGTTCTTCATATATACACACATCCATTTCAAACAGATGGTATGGGTATGGGCCATTAATGCACAGCCAGGTATCGGTGCGACAGCACTAATACTAAAGCTGCTGCTGCGGATGAGAAGCGACCAAACAAGCAGGTTATGATGATGTTTCCCCGTCTGACCAAACGCCTCATGGCGGCTCTCAGCTTCTGGATCCCAGCAGCTGCAGCTGATGAATAAGCTCTGCACTGGTGGCCACGCCGCCTCCTCCAGAGAAGCTCCACTGGTTTGATGGGATCTTCTTGGAGAACTTCTCTGCAGGTAAACCTCTTAGATTGAAGTTCTCAATGATTCAGAAGGCTGCAGGCTCCCTGGGGCCCCCAGGGGCCTCTGCCTCAGCAGAAACTTTACAGCTTCTCTTTATCTGGCTGTAAAATCTGCCAGATTCCAGCCTCTATAAACGGACCTGCTCTGTCTGCGTTTGGTTTCACTTTCCTACAGATTAGAGGAGGAGAGTTCATGCTGGATTAACAAGAACTGATCATCTGCTGGGATTAAAATGAGCCCAGATTTCCTGATTAAATCAGTTTGATCCAGATTCTGGTCGAAAATCATTTAAATATCACATTTCCGTTACAGAAACTCACGATTTAAAGTCGTCTTCCTCTTATTCTCTGAAACAGTAATCTCTGCTCCTCTCAAATTAAATCTGAGATTAAAATTATTCGATTAAATACTAACATTTTATTGTTACTGTAAATGAAGCTTTTTATTTAGCTTTAAAATCGAGTGTTTTCCCTCTAATAGCTCCAGTTCTGTCAAAATTCAACCCTTAAATAATCTCAGACCAACTGAATCTGGTTCAAAATGTCAACATTAAGGTTTAATCAACAAAAAATCACCTTTATCTAATCTTATTACCCCGAAAAACCACCCAGATTACCGTAAATCAAACCCTCTGATGTTTCTGCGGCTGTTTTATCTTCCTTTAGGTCCGATTACTGCTGGAGAACCAGCAGCGCGCGGCGCTTCCGCCACCTGCTGGCCGGTGGTGGAACTACAGGAGTTTAGAATAGAAAATCTCTGTTGTTCCACAATGAAAATTTAAATGAACATAATTTAATAGACTACAAAAAAACAAAAAAAACAATCCGTAGATAATTAAATTAAATAGACAGCATGTTTGCAGTACAATAAACCATTTATTTATCGCTACTAATTTATTAAAATGATTCTGTAATAAAATAAACCTAAATGAAAGTTTAGTAATCATCCATTAAAAATAAACTAAAATAAAAAACATAATATTAATTTAGGTAACTTTAACAGTGAATATATAAAGTCTAATATAAAATGTATATAAAAAATAAACCATTAAAAGAAAATGGCACAAAAGGAAAATAAATGGATTGAAACAAAATGTAAAAGATATTTTTTATTTAAAGAAAGAAAAAAAATTAATACTGATAAAAAAGATATTTGAAAAAAAATTCTAATCTATTAAAGCATTTTTTTGAAAATGAAACCAAACCAGATGATTGAACCTGCTGACAGTGAAGAACTGAACCCGTTCCTCCGACCCTGCAGATTCTCTTTAACTTTAAACCTTTGGTGTGAAAATAAGATCCAAACCTTTTCTAATTCTCTGAGGAACAAAAACCTTAAATAAATCATTAATTATTAACCTAACAGGGCAGATGGATCGTGTTTCTCAATCAAATGCTTCCCAGGTTAGTTAATTATAGATCTTTTATCATCTCGAACAGTTGAGCCGCTAAACGAAGTTCTGAAGGCAGATCTGAAAACATTTTAATGATGGCGGAGGCGGCCCGATGCTGGGATGAGGAAGGAACAGGATCTACTGACGAAGACTCCGATCAGCTGTGAGGAAGCAGCGGCATTGAAACGAAAACCAAACTTTATGAAGTTCCTGTTTTCATCCAGAACCGACGCCGATCGGATCAGGCGGGGAATCCTGAACTTCCCTCTGGTTCCGATCAGCTCCGGGAGGAGAAAGCTGAAGAAAAACCTCAGAAACTGATTTTTACATTTTATTTTACACATGTAGAAATAACAGGAACCTGCTGGTTCTGCTGCGGTCGGACCCAGAACCGCATCAGGTTTCCCCCGAAGCGAAACGTAACAGAACATCTGACAGACGGCCTTCCTCTGATCCGGCAGAGAAAACGGGTTCTAGACTCATCAGGTTCTGACTGCAGCAACCAGGAGGGAGGATTAGTGGAAGGAGCGGCTGCTTCTGATCCAGATCAGTTTAGGGGAACCGTTTCACGGTTAAAGGAACCAAAAGTAAATGTTTAAAATAAACCAGAACATTAGAACCACCTGATCCAATCATTGTAAAAACACAAAACCAGTTCCAGCTTTCCTAGGCTCAGATTAGGGTCTAAAAAGAAATCTATAAATATTAAAATGAGTCTTTCAGTGGGGATGAGTTCTGCTGGGTTCTGTAGCGGCTCAGTCTCTTGGTTCCGAGGATCCAGACAGATGGAGCTGAAATCAGTCCAGCTCAGCAGCTCCGCCTCCCTGAGGTCAGACCAGGGTTCTGGAAAGTGTTCAGTCTGAGCAGAGAGAGCAGGAGGTCCGACTCCTCCTCAGGAGCAGCCGCATGGCGGCGGCGGCCCAGGCAGCCGCATGGCGGCGGCGGTCCGGCTCAGACTCCTCTAGGCTGCTTTGGAATCACACTGGAAACCACGTCGTAGTTTTCCTCAGAGGGATTGACAGCCAGGTAGGCAGGGTCGCGCACCGGAGGGAGATCCTGGAAGAACTGGAGAAAACGGAGGAGTCAGAACTACGGAAGCATCGGATGTTTGGAGAAAATCAGGAAAAATCATCAGAGTTTAAAGAGAAATCTGAAGCTTATTCGCTCCAGGTTTCCGCAGGTCATTAAGATCATTAAAAGTCATTAAATTTGTATTTTTTTTTTAATTAAGGCCTTAATTGGCATTAAAATTCATTAAATGTGATTATCCTCTTTATTTAAAAAAAATATATGATTATAAAAACAATTTCCTCAGATAAATTATATTGAAATAAAAGAAGCTCGAGAAAATGCAAATTTCAACAAAAACGAGGAATATGGGACATGGCTGCAGCCTGACGACGGGAAAGATGATGAAGGATTTCCCAGTTTTTTTTTTATTAGGGATGGAACAGTTTATGAAAACCGTTCGGTTCGACTGTCTCGGTTCGGTTCGCGTGTGTTGCGTTCGGTTCATGCGTTGCTCCTTTTTCTCATAGGCGAAGCGTTTACACTCCAGAGCAGAAGGTGGCGGTACTGCGACCAAAGCCAACCACCAGTAGTAAACAAGAAGAAGAAGAAGCAGCGTAGCCGGGTGTAGCAGAAAAAAATCAGTTGTTGTGGAGAATTGTGTGGGTATGGTGAGTGGGAAAGAACAGGAGCTGGAAGACGCGCCAGCAGCACTATAGGTCTGCTGTATGGGAGCGCTTTGCATTTAGAGTGACCTACGATGACGGCGGAAAGAAAGTTGTGGATAAAAGTGCAACAGTGTGCAAGCATTGTGCAACATGTTTTGTACTATACAAGACATAATAGATTTTCCTAACAATCAACATAAACCGAACCGAACCGAAAACCGTGAACCAAACCGTGGATTTTGTGAACCGTTCCACCCCTAATATATATATAGGGGAGCATTAAAAAGCATTGGAGTTACTAATTCCTGTATAAACTCTGTCGCCTACAGGTGGCCTATGATGATGCTTTGTCACAGTGAGAGTTAACACCTTACACGCCGTTTTACCAAAGTCAATGCATGTTTTTTTCTCTGTAGGTTAAAAGCATCTGGCAGTGAAATGATCTTTTCTACTGACACCAAACTTAGTGCAATCTGAGTCTGAGTTTTGGTAGCAGCGGTATTCCTGTCACCTTAAAGCTCCCATCTAATTGATAATTAGTGTTCTTTTGTTGTTTTTTTTACTGTTTTATTGTTTTATCTTTATTTTATATACTTATTGGACCATGAACACAGAATAAAGTCTATATCAACCTTCATTCTGATCCCAGAAAACGTTTTTTTTTTTTTTTTTTCCTGTCGGTTTTGGTTACATCGTTTATTTTTATTATTTTTTATTACAGAAACAATCTGTAATCTGATTTTTTAGCCAAAAATGAATGAAATTTAAACTAAGGTCTGAATGAATACTGGATTCTGATTGGCTGCAGGGAGTCCAATAAAAACTGTTATAATTAAGCTATGAAAACCCCCAATGTAAAGCTGCAGCATCTCTGGCCTGAGCCGGTTACCATGGCAACGCGTCACCATGGGATACATTAATCAGTTCACTCTGCTGGTTCTTGTGAAAAATGTAAGACTATAGAAGAAATAATAAGAATTAATTACCGTATTATTGATTGATTTTATATATTTTTTTTCATAAGTGACCGCGGTTTAAGGTGGAAAGGATACTTCGAGGCGTCATGATCAGAAAGAAACACACTTTATGGAAGCAACCGTCCTCCGCTCTGCGTCGTCTTCTCAGTTTCAATAATGAACACCTGGTCATGCGTCTCCTGCATATCAGGAACTGCAGTTTTTACTGGTCAAGCCGGGCGTACGCTGTACGATATCTTCAATCGTTGAACGCAGCTTCGGCTCAAACTGTACGATGAAACCTCAGGGTTTAAAAGTTCACAGCTCAGGATGTTTGTTCTCACACTGTGCGACCCGACGCTCTGATGCGATCTACCTGCTCACACTGTACGTCTAAAAGCAGCATCAGACTCATATTCTGACTAAAATTGAGTAGGACTACGTCAGGCTAGGCCCATAGAGGCTGATCGCCCCTCGTTACGCATGGTATGCTACATGACGCACCATCAGAGAGTCAGCCCGATCAAAAAATTCTCCCAGTGGAAAATTGGCCCGAAAAGTGCAAAAAATCGTAGAGTGTTGCCCGTCCTGCGCATGCACGAACAGATATACATCCAGTTTTAAATAAATAATGTAATTATAGTATTAAAATTACTTATTTCTATCCTCAACTCACTAAAGAATGCTAAGACACATTTTTAAAAATGTTTTATGACTTTTGTGAAAAAATGTTGATGCTTTTTACATTTTCTTTGCGTCTCTAATGTCATCATGGGTCATGCAATATATGATTAAACCATGTTTATCTGCATTTTAGTCGTTTCTTTCTTTAGATTAAGCACTATATAGCACAATGTTAACACGACAGGAAAACATAAAACTCAAAAACCCGAAAAAAGTTAGCTCCTAGAAGTAGCGTAGGATTTTATTTCCAATCAGGCAGACGAGTGATAAAACCGAAAGAATTTTAAGGCATTTATTTTCTCAAGAAATAAACTATTAACCTTTAACATTTTATTATTTTATTACGTTTATTATTTTGGGGGAGTTAAAAATGTCATTTAGGTCTTTTTAACAACATAAAACCGAGGACGACCCGGATGTATATCTGGATGCGCAGGACGGTTCGTGCTCATGAGGCGGATCGGGTAGTCACTCAGAAGTAGGGGGAATCGCCATAGCAACCAGTGACTCAGCATGGACAGTGAACAGTCTGAGCATAGGAGGCCATCACTGCACCGTTTACGTCTTTGTTGGTGAAAGACGGAGATAAAAACTTTCTGAGAAACAAGTTAAGAGCAGAAACGTGGAAGAAGGAGGATAAAACTCTTAGGTTGTACGAAGCCTGAGAAAGATGGCGGCTCTCACCCCTGGGATGGTGTACGGGGGCTGGAGGCACTCTTTGATTTTCCTGGATTTGAAGAGGTGGATGTAGGCGAAGCCGACCAACAGGAAGATCACAGAAACCACGATGGAAACCACGACGATCTGGGTCGTTTTGGATACAGCTGTGAGGAAAACGAGGTGGAAGGAAAACGTTAGCATTAGTGCTCATTTAGCCGCTTAATGAAAATCAAGGTTACAATCAGGACTCGCAGATTAAAGTTTGGAGCCAACAGCCTTACAAACGGTAAACAACACCTGTGACATGAGGACCGGTAGAGCTCAGGATCTTACTGGGGTCGGGGTCGGAGGCAGGGATGGTCTCACACTGCTCACAGCTGGGCGGACCCAGAAGATTCTCCCCATAGAGAACAAACTGAACCTGAACACAGTACCGCTGACCCGCCTCCAGGTCGTCAAAGTCCCGCGAGGCAAACTCGTCCACCTGTTCCTGAAAAAAAAGAAAACGGGATGATTTATGGAGAGCGTACGGCGGGAGGAGCCACGACATGAAGGGAGCGTCTCCTCACCTCAGGCTCTTCTCCTTCCTTCCTGAAGGTGATCCTGTGTTTGAAGTTATTGGCGTATTCCGCATGCAGAGGTGGGTTTCTGTGCAGAAGAACAGTGAGGGATCCGGGAGAGACGCTCAGCGTGACGTTAGGAGAACATGGATGACCTGGAAACGGACAGGAATGATGGCCAGAGGCGTCAGAAGGAGGGAACAAGGAGACGAGGATGCTGGTGAAGATTCTCAGTCATCCACGTCATCGTCATAAAAAAAAACAAAAAACAACCCACTGGACGTTGTCCATCGGTCAGAAATAGTGATGAATTTGAGCGTGGTCGGGCTATTTCTGACATTTTGAACTGAAAAAGCTTCCTGGATGGGAAACGAAATGTCTTCAAACTTGGAAACAAAGTCCAGTGGATTGTTTTTTGAACTTTTTCGGAAGGAAACGAGGGAAAATCCTCCTTCTCTGGGTTTTCAGTTTCAAAACACAAACCAAAAAAAAACAACACTTCTTTCCATTTTTAGAAACTAAGAGCAAAACTGTAACTGTGACAGCGGTCTGTGCTGCAACACATCACAGCTGGATCATTTCATCCATTATCAAACAGCTTCATATTTAAAGAAGTTTGGATTTACTATAAAAATAATAATTTTGTTATTTGGTATTGTGGAATGGTATTTTTCCTTGGCCTGTTTGTCAGTGATGTTAAAGTCTGTTTTTTTCTCTTTTCCTCAATAAAAGTGATTACTTAGAAGCCTTGCTGAGATGAAGGGAAAGGACGGAGGTGTGAAAGGAAGTTTCCCCCCTAGGTTAGATAAGGGGGACTGTGTGTGAAGTCCCCCTTTTTATGCGGGGGTTGGGATGCTGCAGCGTCAGATCAACACTGAGCTGCTTTCAGCTGGTCGTGTTCTCCTCTGCAGAGTAAAATAAAACCTTTTCTTCCTTGGATATCAACTCTCAGTGCTCATATTTTTTTTACTCCACAGTATAAAAACTTTTTTTTTTGTTTAAAGGTACAGAGGACGATCTTTTATTTCCTGTGTTCTGTCAGATGAGCATACCCATAGTCAATACCCCTTTAGTTTCTCCTTGTAAGATGCTATTTTACTTTTTATATTTTATATTTATATTTTTATCTTAAGTGTATATATGAGTCTATTTTATTGCATGCCTTATACCCGAAGTGTTTTAGATATTTTTATAATTTTATTTACCTATTCCATATTATATGTTTCATGTTGCACGATTGTACCATAAAAAATTCCTAGTTTGTGAACTCCTTCACTAACAATGGCAATAAACCTGATTCTGATTCTATGAAAAATACACTTCAAACTACCTCAATGGGCGCGTTTCCCTTTAGTCATGTACAAAAAAAACAATCAAAATATTTACTTTTTGGTGTTTTTTTAAGCGTATAGTGATCTGACCTTAGGGATACACGCCTGTCAAGGTAGTTCAAATTCTATTTTTCCTCCAAAACTGAAGGGATAAACACAAATCTGATGTCTTGCACGTGTGTATTGATTATAGGTATGCTGATCTGACAGAACACAGAGTGGATCCTCTCAATCAGTGGTCCTCCTAACTGTCAATCATTCTGGTGATATGTTTACGTAAGGCCGTCCTACGCGCTCGTCCAGGAGTAATGGGCTCCTGCACGCTCTCACGCACATTTAAGTTTAGGGTTAGCAGTTGTTTTCTCTTATTCTAAACGTAAATTGTCTTGTAAAGTGTCTCACTTATCCCCCAATCCAAGAAAAAATGCACTTATTTGAAAAGAAAATGACTTTAGATTTAAATCGAAACAATTTAGCAAATATAATGATTTTATAACTTTAATCAAAGGTTCCTGTAGGTGTTTGATCCTCAGCACCGCAGCGTGACGTCATTGGTGGTCGGTTCGTTGGGTTGAACTGAATCAGTTACACTTTATATAAAATCCCTTTATTGTCCCACAATGAGGAAATGAACTCTCTGCATTTAACCCATCTCCTTGGGGAGCAGTGGGCTGCCATGGTGCGGCGCCCAGGGAGCAGTGGGCTGCCATGGTGCGGCGCCCAGGGAGCAGTGGGCTGCCATGGTGCGGCGCCCAGGGAGCAGTGGGCTGCCATGGTGCGGCGCCCAGGGAGCAGTGGGCTGCCATGGTGCGGCGCCCAGGGAGCAGTGGGCTGCCATGGTGCGGCGCCCAGGGAGCAGTGGGCTGCCATGGTGCGGCGCCCAGGGAGCAGTGGGCTGCCATGGTGCGGCGCCCAGGGAGCAGTGGGCTGCCATGGTGCGGCGCCCAGGGAGCAGTGGGCTGCCATGGTGCGGCGCCCAGGGAGCAGTGGGCTGCCATGGTGCGGCGCCCAGGGAGCAGTGGGCTGCCATGGTGCGGCGCCCAGGGAGCAGTGGGCTGCCATGGTGCGGCGCCCAGGGAGCAGTGGGCTGCCATGGTGCGGCGCCCAGGGAGCAGTGGGCTGCCATGGTGCGGCGCCCAGGGAGCAGTGGGCTGCCATGGTGCGGCGCCCAGGGAGCAGTGGGCTGCCATGGTGCGGCGCCCAGGGAGCAGTGGGCTGCCATGGTGCGGCGCCCAGGGAGCAGTGGGCTGCCATGGTGCGGCGCCCAGGGAGCAGTGGGCTGCCATGGTGCGGCGCCCAGGGAGCAGTGGGCTGCCATGGTGCGGCGCCCAGGGAGCAGTGGGCTGCCATGGTGCGGCGCCCAGGGAGCAGTGGGCTGCCATGGTGCGGCGCCCAGGGAGCAGTGGGCTGCCATGGTGCGGCGCCCAGGGAGCAGTGGGCTGCCATGGTGCGGCGCCCAGGGAGCAGTGGGCTGCCATGGTGCGGCGCCCAGGGAGCAGTGGGCTGCCATGGTGCGGCGCCCAGGGAGCAGTGGGCTGCCATGGTGCGGCGCCCAGGGAGCAGTGGGCTGCCATGGTGCGGCGCCCAGGGAGCAGTGGGCTGCCATGGTGCGGCGCCCAGGGAGCAGTGGGCTGCCATGGTGCGGCGCCCAGGGAGCAGTGGGCTGCCATGGTGCGGCGCCCAGGGAGCAGTGGGCTGCCATGGTGCGGCGCCCAGGGAGCGTGGGCTGCCATGGTGCGGCGCCCAGGGAGCAGTGGGCTGCCATGGTGCGGCGCCCAGGGAGCAGTGGGCTGCCATGGTGCGGCGCCCAGGGAGCAGTGTGGGGTTAAGGGTTTTAATCAGGGAGTGGAGGCTGTGGGGATCAAACCGGGTACCTGCAACCTTTTCAGAGCACAATTGCACTGCTCTAACCACTAGACCAACACTCCCCTCATGAGACTTCCTCAGAGCGCGGAAGGACGACGGCTCTGAAGGTTTTCACGCCTCTAACCAGGTGTGAAGGTTAACCACAGCTGAACGCGGTCCGACACGTTTCTGTTTCTAGGTGGAGGTCTGCTGACCCCCTGGATCTTTGAACCCTCTAAGGTTCACCAGAGGCTGTGATCACTCACACCACCCCCCCATCCACATCAACTATGTTATATTATTAATGGATTCCCGGTGAACCTCAGGGTCACCGTAGTGCCATACCATTATGAGTCAAAGTAAACCAGCAAGGCCACAGAGATCTTAAAGGAGCAATAAGGGGAAACCTACCACTAGGTGGGGCTGTTGAGCCTCGTTTTTAGACCAAAAAAAGATGTGTGACAGAAGCTGCCTGAGAAATGTCAACATTTAGCTGAACAGCTGCAAACATCTGGGTTAGCGTCACCTTCTCTGCTGCAGGCTTCCACAGGTTTCTCTCCGTTTCTCTGAGCAGCGACGCGAACACGCAGACATCCGAACTCCTCCCGATTTTGCTCCTGACTGACGTCACAGGAAGTGAGGCGTGTTTGGTTGCATCTGTCTAGCGGAGTCCATTTAGAGTCAAAGCTGTAGACCAGAGAGAGGAAACATTTAACCTGCATTCAGAGCAACGGAAACATTTCAGCTCGAACCTGAAAATGACAAAAACTAAATAAAAATGACAGTTCACTTCAAATAACTTTTCTTTATATAAACATTTAACTCATTTTTTTCAATATTTTAATCTAGATTTCTGCAGCAGGAACTTCATTCTAATTTCCTCTGACTTTATTCAAACTTTTATTGATTTATTCTGATATTCTTTCAGGCGATTCGTTATTTTCATCCTAATTTCTCTGATCTTATCCTGATTTTAACAGGTTTTACTTTTATTTCTCCAACAGGTTGGTCTTTATTGGCCCTCAACATTATCCAGATGATTTTATTTTTGTTCCTCCAAAGTCAGAATATAATCTATTACAGCCCAGATATTCTTATCCAGATGAAGATGGATTTTCCCTCCAGCTGTGACTCATTTCCAGGTGAACCCACCTAGAGCCTCGATACTCCACAGAAAACTCGCCATCACTGGCCGCTGAGCTCCAGGTCAGCAGCGTCTGGTTAATCCTAACATTCTGCAGCTCAGATGATTTCTCCACAGCAGCTGAAAAAAAGAAGAAAGATCTTTATGACCAGATTAAAACCGAGATCATGGATGAGGATCTGTAATATTCTCCTGAACAGGAAGTAGTTTGATGTCGAATGAAAACAGTCGATTAGTTCGATTCAGCAAAATAAACAGCGAGAAACACTGAAGGAAAATTAAAGCCTAAACAGATTACTGAGGAAGTCCGGGATCTTAATCCAGTAATCTTTATCAATAATTTCTGTTTAGGAAAACCTCCTGACACTATCACAGTGGAAAAGTTTGGTGGAAGAATAAATGGCATCTTTCTCTTCTAAAAAACATCTGGATTAGGAGAAATAATTTTAGATTAGGAGGAAGGAAGCAGCCAGGACCTGCTGATCGGATTTATCATTTATCAGATTATCATAAACAAATGAATTGAATAAAAAAGCGTCACAAGAAAAAGAGAAGTTTTTTGTTTTCTTAATCCTAATATTTATTTGGATTCAAATCTGGTGATTTAATCCTGAATTTATCTGGAACTGATTCAGATTATTTTACAGTTTTATCCTGATAATTTGCTGCATTCTGACCCCTGACTTTAATCCCAGCCTCGCTTAACTTAGTAATGATTTATTTTGATTTTATCCTTCTTAACTGAGAATAGAATAAGATAGAAAATCATTTTTATTATCCCTTGATGGGGAAATTAAAAAAAGATTATAGAAAAAATGGTCACACAAATTAGGACCCTAGAAAATTTTATAAAAATAATAAATAATCAAATAAAATACTGTACTGTAAAGAGTTTTAACATCATAACCAGTGAATAAATAAACAATATACAGCTACGGACATTTTTACAGTAATGGATATTTTCTAGTTTCTTGATCTAGATTATTTCAGGTTTATACCTGAATCTCATCCTGATTTTATTTGGTTTTTCTCTGACTTTATTCAGATTATTCTGTCCTGATTCTATTCTGATTCTATTCAAACACTGTCCAGACTTTAAAGCTTCCTTCTTTACCAGATTTATTACTGTTTCTTTCCTGGATTATAATTCAGATTACAGCAAACTTCCAGCTGATCCTGACTTTTATCTAATTTTAAATGGAGGTTAAATTTAGGTCCAGAGAGTAAACCGACACCGCAGCTGTTCATCCTATAAATACAGGCGGTTCGGTTCTGGTCGGTTCTGGTTCTGTTCTGACCGAGTAAAGCTCTGAGGAGCAAACAGCTGGAGGCCTGTTTGTTCCTCCTTTAATCTGGATACCGGATTAAATCAGAACATCAGAACCAGAACAGTTCGGTCCGATCCAACAGGAACAGGATTTAAAGCAGGAAATATGTCGGTTAGCCGAACCAGAACCAGAACCAGAAGCAGAAGCAGAAGCAGAAAGCGCAGCGCAGTTTACCGAAAACGAAACTTCTTGGATAATTTCTTAGCTCACCTGCTGGTTCCGCGGTTCGGCAGAACAGAACCAAGAACCAAACGACACCGAAAGAAAAGCGCCTCTCAGGAGAAACCAGACCGGAACCGTCCATCCTGACCAGATCAAAGTGTTTGTCCGATTCTCACAGAACCAGAAACTTCCTCATTAGCTCCAGGATCTGGGAACTGACGTCACATCCGGTCCCTCCTACTTCAGGATCTTAAGAAACAAGTTTCTTTATTGTCATTATGGAGCATTTTTCATACTAATTTCAGACATTTTGATCAGAATAGAAATAAATCAAAAACTTGGGAGAAAAAGGAGCATCGAAGCCTTTATGAAGATATAGAAATATATTGAGAAAAAAAATATATATATATAATTTATATTTCTATATCTTGATAAAGGTTTCGATATATATAAATATTTGTATTTGGCGGTTTTTAAGGAGCACCCAAAAAATTAAAAGAATAAATTAAAAGAAAATTATCGCTGCACGACCAAATTATTTCACAACTTCATGTTCTTTAAAACAAAAGTTTAATTTCTGAATCCTTTACTCTTTTTTTTTATAAAAACATAGAGCATTGATTCCATATTGGTTCTCCATCTGGTCCACCTTAACTTCTCCAGCCACAGGTTTCAGACCAGCATCAGAAATATCTTAGATCAGAGGTCTTCAATGTTTTCCAGGGCGAGGACCCCAATCTGATGGTGTGATGGAGCGGGGCCCCTAATTATTTATTGTATGAAATAGTGTTCTATCAAACTGGTCCTATAGTCACTCTATTACAGATGGAGTAATGTAACTAAAGTAATCCCTCCCTGGGATTATTAAAGTGTTTCTGATTCCTGGTTGATGGGACAGGTGTTGTGAATGAAACGGTTCCCAGCTTGAAAGAGCTCCTGTGTGTCTCTGAATGTGAGCATTGATGACTGAAAGACATCTTCTGCCTCCATTTATCTGTTACTAAAGTCTGTTCAATTCATGTTAATGTGGATTTAAATACTTTTCTGCCACATCTTCTGCCTCCACAGGGGTCACGTACCCCCTGTTGAAGACCTCCATCTTAGATTACAGGTTGATCTATAAACTGGTTTAGAAATCTTTAACAAAAAGGAGACATTTTTCTTTTAGTTATGAATATTTTCTGGGCCATTTTAAGATTTCTGTGAACCTAAGATTAATTATCTAGAGCAAATTTACTGGGGGGTGGGGGGAAGAAGCTTCTACCACTCCACCATCAAGACCATCCTCAAAAACTGCCCTCGCCCTATTTATCCTATATTATGTGTAACCTGTATATAGCTTTCATATCTATTTATTTCATAGGCCCTTACAATTATTCTCTGTGTATATATACTGATGAAGGTTCTCAGTCATCCAGGTCATAGTCATTCCGTAAAAATTCAAAAAATATCCACTGGACTTGATTTTCAAGATTTGAAGACGTTTCGCCACCTCTCCAGGAAGCTTTCTCAATTCAAATGTCGGATCCAGACATTTGAATTGAGAAAGCTTCCTGGAGAGGTGGCGAAACGTCTTCAATTCTTGAAAATCAAGTCCAGCGGATATTTTTTGAATTTTTACAGACTGTGTATATATACCATTTATAGTCCATACATACAGTCTTTGTTGGGGTGTAGATATTTATATCCTGTATATCATTTCTGGATAGATGCAAACTAAATTTCGTTGCTTTATGCTTGTGACAGTGTAATGACAATAAAGTTTAATTCTATTGTTTTCTATTAACTCACAGAAAGGCTGGGTGACCTCCCTATTTAACCCTCATTCTGATAAATACTGGTAAAAGCTCGATTCTAACAAAAAAACAAATTCCCAAAATGTTTGTTTTCCTATTATCTGAGAGGCTTAAGATATTTAAGACTCAAATTCCTATTTAATTTTAATAGTTTATGCTGAACCTCCTGAGTTCCTCCATTTCTAGAAGCCATTAACTGATAAAATCCTCACTCTCCTTCCCTAAACGCTGAAAGCTTCATTCAGAGCGGCTGCATGTAAACCGTGAAAAGTTTTCTCCCATGTGCTGCTTGCAGACTTTCTAAATAATCGTTTGTGTGGGAATCTTATGAAAACTTGACTGGCTGTCGAATGATTTCCTAAATGCTCAACTTAGACATCTGTCTGGTCATTTTCTGTAAACCTAAATGTTTTTATTCTTCCTTTTGTTTTTGCTGTAGGTTTTGTTTTTGCTAAGAAGCTGTCAGTTTCTTCCCCATTTTTGTTTCGACTGGTTTAACAACATGTAGGATGTCTTCCCATGTTAAAAAAAACCCATATAAACTTTTAATCAATTTTACCGTCTAAATCAGGGGTCGCAGGCGGCTCTTTCGCGCCCCCCTGGAGCTTTTTCAAAAATTTATGAAAATTTATCTTTTTGGTTTGTTTATTTTAATATGGTGTGGAGGCGGTAAAAAAAAAAAAAATCAAGTTTTCTAATGCCGTAAGCATTTCTTGCAATGGAAACTTGCGTCATAGCCTGCAGCATGTTTCAGCGCGGCGCGCTGCCAGGCAGGTGGCTGTTGCAAACAAAGCGGCGAGTGTGTCTCAGGGGAAAAATGAAGATTGCTGATGAGAAAACAGGATTCAAAGGAGACTGGAGCCAATCATTTGCTTTCCTTATCAATCAGGAAGGGTTGACTGCATTTTTGCTTTGGAATGAGAAGTGTTCAAATAATTAAAATAGTTATTTGGAAAGGCATTACCAGGGAAGGTTAAATATGCAGCCGACCAACAAGTTGGGAGGGAGAGAAAACTTAAATTAGAGGAGAGCAAAGATAGATTTAATAATTAAATTGCATCTCCAAACTCCACTACTGCTGCTAGTTTGGTTGCAAGCATTAATTACAGGTGCTGGTCATAAAATTAGAATATCATGAAAAAGTAGATTGATTTCAGTAATTCCATTTAAAAAGTGAAACTTGTATATTATATTCATACATTACATACAAACTCATATATTTCAGATGTTTATTTTGTTTAATTTTGATGATTACAAATGACAACAAATGAAAATCTCAAATTCATCATATCAGAAAATTAGAATATTACTGAAGACCAATAAAAACAAAGGATTTATAGAAATGTTGGCCAACTGAAAAGTATGAACATGAAAAGTATGAGCATGTACAGCACTCAGTATTTAGTTGGGCCTCCTTTGGCCTGTATTACTGCAGCAATGCGGCGTGGCATGGAGTCGATCAGTCTGTGGCACTGCTCAGGTGTTATGATAGCCCAGGTTGCTCTAATAGTGGCTTTTAGCTCTTCTGAATTGTTGGGTCTGGTGTATTGCATCTTCTTCTTCACAATACCCCATAGATTTTCTATGGGGTTAAGGTCAGGAGAGTTTGCTGGCCAATTAAGAACAGGGATACCATGGTCCTTCAACCAGGTACTGGTAGCTTTGGCACTGTGTGCAGGTGCCAAGTCCTGTTGGAAAATGAAATCTGCATCTCCAAAAAGTTGGTCAGCTGCAGGAAGCATGAAGTGCTCTAAAACTTCCTGGTATGTGGCTGCGTTGACCCTGGACCTCAGAAAACACAATGGACCAACACCAGCAGATGACATGGCACCCCAAACCATCACTGACTGTGGAAACTTTACACTGGACTTCAAGCAACGTGGATGAAGTGCCTCTCTTCTTTTCCTCCAGACTCTGGGACCTTGATTTCCAAAGGAAATGCAAAATTTACTTTCATCAGAGAACATGACTTTGGACCACTCACCAGCAGTCCAGTCCTGTTTCTCTTTAGCCCAGGCAAGACGCTTCTGACGCTGTCTGTGGTTCAAGAGTGGCTTGACACAAGGAATGCGACAGCAGAAACCCATGTCTTTCATACGTCTGTGTGTGGTGGTTCTTGAAGCACTCACTCCAGCTGCAGTCCACTCTTTGTGAATCTCCCCCACATTTTTGAATGGGTTTTGTTTCACAATCCTCTCCAGGGTGCGGTTATCTCTCTTGCTTGTACACTTTTTTCGACCACATCTTTTCCTTCCCTTCGCCTCTCTATTAATGTGCTTGGACACTGAGCTCTGTGAACAGCCAGCCTCTTTAGCGATGACCTTTTGTGTCTTGCCCTCCTTGTGCAAGGTGTCGATGGTCGTCTTTTGGACAACTGTCAAGTCAGCAGTCTTCCCCATGATTGTGTAGCCTATAGAACTAGACTGAAAGACCATTTAAAGGCTTTTGCAGGTGGTTTGAGTTAATTAGCTGATTAGAGTGTGGCACCAGGGGCCATCAATTTTGAACCTTTTCACAATATTCTAATTTTCTGATATGATGAATTTGAGATTTTCATTTGTTGTCATTTGTAATCATCAAAATTAAACAAAATAAACATCTGAAATATATGAGTTTGTATGTAATGTATGAATATAATATACAAGTTTCACTTTTTAAATGGAATTACTGAAATCAATCTACTTTTTCATGATATTCTAATTTTATGACCAGCACCTGTAGAACAGGCAGCGCTCTGATGCAGGGAAGGAACTTTCTTCCATTTTTTCCCCCAAATCCCACCGATGGTGACAGAGGATGTGGGATTCAGAGTTAGAGAGCTCTGCTCTGGTGGATGTCACTTCCTGCTTGGTTGCTCATGACTCAATCATCTCCTCCCAACAGAAACACGTCCACCATAGAAACATTCCTTTATCCTGTTTCTTTAATTTCATCAATGCAACAAAACCTAAACCACGCGATAAAGGGCGGTGAAGTGACGAGTGATAAATTCAGAGCGTTCGCTTCTCATCCCTCACCTCATGCCACTATGTGACATTTACTCCAGGATAAACATTTAATCATGAATGATTATTATATATTTAATCCCACGTAGTCCTTTCCTGTAGTGGGATAATACACTTAGAGCCTGTGTTGCCATATCAGGCTTATAGAATACTTTTACATTTTTGCAGCTCCAGACATTTGTTTTTTGGTCCAATATGGCGCTTTGAGCAGTTTGGGTTGCCGACCCCTGACATGAAGCGATTCACGTTGAACAGATGATCCAGAAATGGTTGAAAAAGAAAAAAAAACCTGCTGAGTTTATCCTCTAAACCAGTGTTTTTCAATCCTGGTCCTCAAGGCACCCTGCTCTGCATGTTTTGGAGGCTTCTGAGGTTCAGCAAACCTGATAATCTGCTATCAATTGCTAACAGGTGTGTGGAAGCTGGGAAACATCTAAAACTTGCAGGGGAGGGTGCCTTGAGGACCAGGGTTGAAAAACACTGCTCTAAACCAGGCATTCCCAAACTCGGTCCTCAAGCCCCCCTGTCCTGAACTTTTAGAGGTTTTCTTGCTCCAGCACAGCTGATTTTAATTGAAAGCTGATTAACAAGCTTTTGCTCTACTGCAATCATTATAACCAGCTGTGCTGAAGCAGAGAATCCTCTAAAACCTGCAGGGCAGGGGGCCATGAGGACCGAGGTTGGGAATGCCTGCCTAAAGCGCCACTGATTTTCTCCAGGTGTAATACCAGAATGAGCCACATTTAAACGGAGGCGCTGCGTCAGAGCCGTATCCTAGTTACCAGCGTAGATCGTTTAGAGGAGCTGGGGTGGAGAAACGAAGAGGAAGAGTCGAGTGCTGCAGTTACTTTTCTGTTCTATTTTTTTTTCTTTTACAGTTGGCTAATACACTTAGAGCCTCTGTTGCCATACGAGGATTCAAGAAGACTTTTACATTTTTGCGGCTCCAGACAGATTTTTTTTGGTCTAGTGGCTCTTTGAGCAGTTTGGGTTCCTGAACGCTGCTCAAATGATTTAATTTTATATTTCCCCGTTCTTCCAGCTACAATATCAAGTCGTTATCTAGAGAAACACCTGGATTCAAAGCCTCCAGAGATCCAACCAGCAGACGGGTCACACACAAGGATTGGTTTATTAAATGCCAGAAGCAGCTCATATGTACAGTCAGATTACAGGTCAGTAAAATGTTTGCCTTCAGCTAGTTTGAAACACCAATTTAGCCCAGTTGTTCTTTTTTTAAAATCCTATTCACAAAAATCCCTTCATTGATCAATCAACATTCATAATTAATGCTCATTAAGTGCTGCAGGATACAGACAGTGACTTTATACACAACGTGACAATAAAAGGTTCCCACAGGAATCACAGCATGGATGAGGATAGAGGCAGCAGCATCAGCAGTCCTTCCTATCAGGCGGTGATTGGTTCCCAGTGAGGACGCTCGGAAGCCTCCAACCAATCAGGGGTTTCCAGTTCAGACGCTCATTATTTGGTCTCATGTGGAACACGGCCAACAGCGCCCCCTTTCCTTTAGACCTCCACGTCTACGACTCCCTCATCTGGGACGACGGGGAAGCCTTTAAACTCGAGGTTCATGTCCGACATCTTGCGCTTCTCCGAGTCAAAGCTTCGCTGAGCATTCTGGGAGGATGAGGTCATGTTGGGATGCAAGCCGCTGGAGTTTCCTCCGGCAGAATAAATGCCTGAATCGCCGCTGCTGCTGCTGTTCTGACGGCTGTGTCTGCCGCTGCGGAGGGAAAAACAAGACGACATTTAATGACGCTGAATGGAGAGAAAACAACACAGGAATCTTTTAGGGAGGAAATAAACACCGAACAGTTTAAGCACGTTACAGCCGAGTTTGCTTAACGGTCTCTGATCATATCATGTAGGGTTCCTACAGCATAAGGCAAGTTAAATTCAAGACTTTAAGATTTTTTAAAGCCACTTGAAATAAAAATTTAACACCAAATTTACAAGAAACACAAGAAACTTAACCCAAAGGTTTATTATAACTAGGGCTGCAACAACGAATCAATAAAATCGATAAAAATCGACTTTTAAAAGCGTTGGCAAGGAATTTATTCATCGATTAGTTGTGTCGCGCGATTAATGCGTCATCAGCCGCCGGCGTCATCACATCCACTTGACTGAAACGGAGGAAGAAAAAAAATACGGCAGAGCGAGTCAGTGCTGCAGGTGCAGTGTTGCCAACTCAGCGACTTTTCAGACCCCTCCAGCGACTATTTTTCAAAAAAGCGACTAGCGACAAATCTGGCGACTTTTTACGGTGTCACTGGCGGCTTTTGGAGACTCTAACGTGAAAGCATGTATCGTTCCTACTCTGCCGTGGGGCGCCTGTCCTTGTGTGCTTGTTTGTTCTGTCTAACATGTTTATTTTGGAATAAAGAGGTTAATATAAAAAATTTTTTTGTCCGATTCATCGATTAATCGAAAAAATAATCGGCCGATTCATTGATTTTTAAAATAATCGTTAGTTGCAGCCCTAATTTTAACATAAACCACTGCACTAATGTTTCAAATTTTGAAAAGCTTCCCATACAGGAAGAAAGCTAAAAACACACAAATGACAGATATATTTGAACAATTATTTAACTGAATTCACAAACTTTGTTTTAGCAGGGAACAAAACAAATTAGTTTTAAAGCCCCAACATAACCAGTGCTAAGTCTTTTTTGCAGCTATTTTTCTTTGTATGGTTTTCTTAGTATGTTTGATTTGGTGATAAGTGGAGGCGTTGCAGAGACAAGGGTGGAACTAAACTGAGAAATACCGGCTGTTTCTCTGTAACTCCATTTTGACGCTTTGTGTTTCGTGCTTCGCATGTGCGACTCCACTGCCTTAATTCCCATCGTTCTGAGCTTGAATGACTTCTTGCATAAATCCACTGAGCCTCATGTTTGTTCCCTGGTTTTAGCCACGGAGAAAACTCTTGGCTGGAGACAATTTTGGTTACATTTACACTTGCTCATATTTTCCAGACAAAAAGTTAATGGAGCATCTCCCAAATGTCCCGGCCGCAACAACGCTTTATTGGTTCCGCTATCGGGATGGAACCAATAAAAGCGAGTTGTTTATTTTTTATATATAAAAAAAGAAAAAAAATTGTCAATTTTAAAGTTTTATTTAGATTACAAAAATAAATTGTAATAAAAAAATCCTAATTATGATGTTTTAAAAATTAAGACCTACGAAAGACTGATTTAAGACATTTTAATACCAATTATGGCCTTAGTTTTATCTTGAAGAATTCAATGCCTTTTAAGACTTTTTAAGGATCTTTTTTTTATTCAGCCTCCAGAGTGGGAAGATTTTGAAACGCCGTTTTCGCGTTTCCATCTTTACGCTCTAACCGCATTTTTTTTTTTACACGCATGCGTCATAGCATCGCCTCTAAACACGCATGCGTCATAGCGTCGCCTCTAAACACGCATGCGTGACACAGTATCACAACAACAATGGCGCCGTACTGTGTTGAATGGTTGCTGCTCATGCTACTCACCCTGCTGTCGGGCTTACAACAGAATCTTCTTCTTCTGGAATATCTCCAGGAAGAACAGAGCAATATCGACCACATAGTTCAGCACCTGAATTTGACTGAACCACGAAAATGGACCCGCAGGGCAACCATGTATAAATATTAGTGCGCATGCCCAACATTTCGTCGCCTATTTTTGCTTTGGCACCACAGCGCCACTTACAGGCCTGGCATACATTTTGCAGCGTTTTCATGCATTCGTGTGGACGATCACATTTATTTTACGTCTCCGTCTTTACGACAAACGTTCTGGAAAATATTAGCGTTTCGTGTTCGTTTTGAATTCGTGTGGACGGGGCCTTAGAAGCCTTGTTGAGATGAAAGGAAAGGAAGGAGGTTTGAAAGGAAGTTTCCCCCATAGGTTAGATAAGGGGAAACATGTCAAGATTCTCACGCCCTGGTGTGAATAGAAAAAAATTGTCATCTCTGTCCTTTGATGAACTAAAGTGTTTCTCTTGGGAAATGTTAATGAGTGGGGAATCCCCCTTTTTTATGCAGGGGTTGGGATGCTGCAGCCTCAGATCAACACTGAGAGCTGCATTCAGCTGGTCGTGTTCTCCTCTGCAGAATAAAATAAAACCTTTTCTTCCTTGGATATCAACTCTCAGTGCTCATTTATTTTTTTTTTTTACTCGACACTATTCTGCGTCTGGCTTGCAGAGGCGGCAAGAAAAACAACCACCATGGTGGATGATAGTAAGTATAGTAGTATTTAGGCTTAACCATCATGAAAATATTGTGTTTTTAAGGTTGGGAAAGATCGCTAGCGCTCCAGCATTACCATCCATGTTTACTTTCGTAAACAAAGAGCAGGCTGGGAAGATGCAATTGACAGAATACGGCAGGGGTGGGCAATTCCAGTTCCTGAGGGCCGGTATCCTGCAACTTTTAGATGTGCCTTAGTTGGACACACCTGAATCAAGTAATTAGATGATTGAGAGGACTCTGGAGGAACTAACTGCATGCTGAGGAGGTAACACAGCCATTTGATTCAGGTGTGTTGGACCAGTGATGGATTTAAAAGTTGCAGGATATCGGCTCTCAGGAACTGGAATTGCCTACCCCTGGAATACGGTCTACTACCTCTTGTGCTCGTCTTGGTTTTATTCAATTCAAAGTTTTTCATAGAGTCCATTTCTCTAAGTCCAGACTCTGTGAAATCTATCCAGAAATTAAAGACAAATGTGATAAGTGTCTGGATTCTCTGTGTCATCTTAGTCATATGTTGTTGTTTTTTGCCCTGTCCTGGCTGCTTTTTGCTCTGGTTACTTCACAATTATGTCTGCTAATCTCAAAGTTAATCTGCAGCCTTGTCCACTGACCGCCATATTTGGAGTTTCTGATTCCTCAGTTGTATTAAATTCAATGCAAACAGATATTACAGCCTTTACATCCCTAACTGCAAGACGTTATTATTACACTGGAAGTCTGCTAGATGTCCCTCCATCGCCCAGTGGCTTAAGGACGCGGTGTTTTTCCTTAAACTTAAAAAAAATTAAATATACAATAAAATGTCAGTTTTCTTTCTTATTTTTCATATTTGGAGCTCCTATCTAACTAAATATATGTGCCTGTTGCTGTATTTTGCTGATGTTTTTTTTTCTATTATTATTATTTATTTATTTTATTTTTCTGCTGAATATGTTGGGCTGAGACAGCGTGGGAATGTTTTGTTTTTATTGTTTGTATATGTAGTAGGTATGACTATTTCAGCATTTGTACTTGTGTGAGTATATTAGAAGTTATACCTGCATAAGTATACGTTTATCCACAAAAAAAGCAAACTGTATTCCTTATTGTGAATATCTAATCATTTTTTTCAATAAAAACTATTTCGAAAAAAACAACAAAGAGCACGCTGCTTGTGACGTCACTGCGTCCTCTGCTGCGCATGCGGGACACATGCGTTGGATGAATGCAGTTCACACAGGAGATCACAGACAAGCCGCATATATTTAGAAATGTAAACGGCAACGCAAAAGAATCGGATTTCACAAAAAATTAGGAATTGAGCATCAAGGTCTGCTGTGTGAACGTTGCCTTAGAGTCTCTATACTCTAATGATTAATCAATTACTAAATTAATTGAATACGATTAATCTGAATAATTTTTTACGCTTTTACGATTTAATTGGCTATTTAGGAAACTGTATTTATTCTAACAGCAAATCATTTCAGGCATTTTGGGGGCTGATCTGAGGCCCTGTAACCCATCCTTCACACAGACTCCACTATCTGAGCTTTACTACTATGGAAGTAAATCTGCGTCGCTGGGATTTGAATTAAAAATGCCACTGAAATTTAAATGTTGTATGTTTGTTCTTACTGTTTCAGTGTTAAAATATATTCAGAACACATTTCTGACCTAAAAAGAGGTTCATTGTTATTATTTCTACACAGTTAGCTTGCATGACCGGCTCCGTCATGCTAGTTTTCCTTCCGTATGAGCGCCACAAGCGTCACGTCACGTGACTAAGAAAACGTAACGGGATTGGCTGCGTGTTGGACGCCACAATCCATTGCTAATGTCTGTGACCTGAAGTAACCTTTCCCTTTTTACACTGAATTTAGACGCCGAATTTAAGACGCTGAAATAGAGCCAGTTGAATCTCAGGAGGCTGAAAATATTGAGTTTGAATTTTGAAAGGTTTAATTTTTTATATGCAGATTTTTTTAACACTGAAAATTAAGTATTGAAAATGTAATCACTTTGAAATAGTAATGTGAATTTTAGCTTGAAGAGAAAATAAATGAAATTTCAACTGTGTAGAAATAATGACAATGATTTTTTTTTTAGGTCAAAAATGTGTTCTGAATATAGGGCTGGGCGATATAGAAAAAAAGCTTATCGATAAAAAAAAAATGCATATTGATCGATATCGATAATTATTGAAAAGATTTGAAACCATATTTTATGTGCAGCTCTGCCTGGACTTTTTATAATATTGCTAAATGATTTAATTTTAATAAAGAACACAAACACAGACTTCCAATTAAATATTTATTTAACCAACTTTTTTAACCATAACAGAATTGTTTTAAAGAAAAATAACTTAAAAGACCTGAGTTATGTTATTAAATACTGACAAAGGATAAACTAAAGTGACCAAAATAAATATAACAAATAAACCTGGTTCAGCTTAGTTTCCTGCTTTAACCTGAGTTATTACTTTGAAGTTTCTGGCCCCTCAGCATGTTTCTCTCAATTGTTAGAACTACGTGGGAAACTGCCCAGAACTTTATATATATATTTTCCCGAAATTCCCGAAGATTCCTCGGAGGAGAGCCGCGGCTGGGCCTACACAGCTCGTACTCCTGCGGGTGTGTGCGGCTGAGATGATAAAAAAAAAAAAAAAGTTGGTTGTGTTATCAGACTGGTTTCACTGGTTCCCGACACATTTTACAGATGACTGTGGTTTGTTTTTTGTCCGACTTGCCATGACCGAAATACTGCCAGACTGCCGAACAACAAAAACCTTCTTTGGAGCAATTTCCTCTGCCTCTCCTGCTGCGACATCTTCATGTGCTCTGTGTTGTGGTTTGAGAGGGCGGCGCTCGGTGACGCCATGCCTGGGTCCGCGATTGTGATTGGTTGGGAGGATGTAGTGACTAGCATAAACCTACATGCTAGGCTACAATGAGAAGGAAGGAAAACTGCGTTTCTTATCGAACTTTTATCGAGCCTATTTTTTTCTATTGCGCCACACGTCTATCGATCGATATATATCGTTATCGAATTATCGCCCAGCCCTATCTGAATATATTTTAACACTGAAACAGTAAATACAAACATACAACATTTAAATTTCAGTGGCATTTTTAATTCAAATCCCAGCGACACAAATTTACTCCCATATACTACTCAGTCTGGTTATTTCTACCAACTTTTAGGAAGCGGATGCGACAATTGATCGTCTAATCAGAGCTTCCAGACGCAGGAAACAACAGATGTTGAGGCTCATCGCACCGCTAAGCAGAATCATTGCTGGGAATCGTGTGGCGCGGTAGGGAAGCCGGTGTTTATATGTCTGAAATTTCATGATAACGGAGGCTGACTGTAAGGCGGTGACGCAGTCCGCTACTGCGCTCTTCGTTATCAGAGAACTGAGCCGCGCTGATTAACTAGCAGCAGATATCATTCAACAGCTATCTCAGTTAACATTCTGGAATCGATGTCGGCACGGTTTCAAGAGGATGCTGTAAATGGGGCTCATGTTGACTGATAAAAATGGAAAGCTACCACATGGACAAAAGGACACTTCTCGTCCCGGACATTCTCTGTTTACACTGTTGCCTTCAGGCAGACGATACAGAGCAACCAAACCAAGAACCAACCGCCTTAGAGACAGTTTTTACCCGACAGCAATAACAAAACTAAATGCAACCAAAAATAACCATTAATCATCATGGATGATGTGTGTGAGAATGTACTATTCTTATTAATTGCTTTGTATCAGTTATTGTTATTTATTTCTTATATTATGTGTAAATGGTGGGACAGTGATTTTTGTTTTAAACATATGCACTGATCGATGGCACTTTTTTAAATTTCGTTGTTCTTGTGACTATGACAATAAAGATAAATTTAATTGAATGCCTTACATACACACACGCACACATATATGCACACATGTATATAAATAATAATTTCATGACTTTTAATGACCCGCGGAAACCCTCTTTGACCCCCCCTTTAGAAGTAAACTCCAAATAACCTGCTGTCCTGCTCCAGTCCAGCTGGGGGCACCATAGAGTCGACAGCCGGATCCACTTTGATCTCCAGGCGCGCAGACTCTGCGGAGACGATCACAGGATCGCACAGGTCCAGTTCAGACTCGGAGACAATGAGGCGCGGGAAGTCGGACTCCTGGGGGGAGAAGCAGCGGAGCGTTAGGAGACGGAGGAGGGAGGAACCTCACCTGCTGGGGGAGAGGAAGGCTGCAGACCTGTTTGAAGTGAGAGGGCAGCTTCTCGCCGGGGAACAGCGTGGCTTTGCAGATCTGAACGCACAGATGGCTTCCGTAGAGGGCAGCCATGACCAGCAGGAAGGCCACCAGCAGAGAGCCCAGGAAGTAGAGGGAGATTTTCCACCAAGGAGTGACTCCTGCTCAGACACACAAACATTCAGACTCGTTTACGGCTCGATATCAGAGACAAAACCCAAATAACCTGGATTCATTACTTTATTATCCCCTTTTCATGAAGACATGAGGTCAAATGGGACTGAATACAAGCAGCAGAACTTCTCATGTCCTGGATGAGGCTAACGGCAGAAAGCTATATCACAGTTAGCATCTGACAGCATGAGGAGCGACAAACCCCGTCTGTCATCGTCTAACATCTTTGGAAATTATTAGTGCTTCACCAAAAAACAGGCGTAAATTGGAAACAACTGGGCTTTTTTTTCTGAAGATGTCTGAACGCCGATCAGGGAGAGCGATCCGTAGTCAGACCGCTGATGCATCTAATCAGCATGAAGGTCCATCCTTCTGAGCTTTATGAATTCCTTTTTTAACCTGCGTTTCCAGATCATTTTTTCTACCCTTCTGGAGGCGGGGATTTCCTTTGGAGTGAGGAGTGGAGCTGCATTTTTATTGGTCTGCTGGATGCTGGCAACATTTTATTGGCAAACATGCTTGTCAAGCATAAGCGTTTGTATTGGCTTAAAGTGAAGAGAATGAAATCTGTAAAACCCAATTTGAGAAAAAAGTAAAGTAAAATAATAAATATCAAATCTGTAAAAAAATATTATTTTTAACAAAAATGTAAAATCAGTGAATAGAATTGAAAAAAATTTGAAATAAAATCTGAGTAAAAAAAAAAAAAGTTCCTCAAAATCTTTTTGACTCAGATATTTTTGTAAATTTAATTTCGGGATTATTCTGGTGAAGATTCTTGGTCATCCAGGTCATAGTTTCCAAGTTTTAAAAATGTTTCTCTTCCATCCAGGAATCTTTTTTAATTCAAAATGTCGGAAATAGTGTTGACTTTGAGGCTTGGACCAAAAACAAAGCTTTGTTTTGGCTTAGAAAACATGCTAATTTAATCTATTTTAGAAACTTTTTGGAATAATTTCTGGATTGCATTTTTTCAAATGAGTTGTTTGCAACAACAAAGGACCAAAATTCCCTCTAATAATAATTGATCCAAGAAAACGGGAAGAATGGAAGCCTTGAAGGCCCAAAAGGTCCAGGCTTTACAGGGTTTATAAAGTTCGTCATCTTTACTCTCTACAGGCTGCAGCCATGTCCCAAATTCTTAGTTTTTCAGACACTTTTGTTGAAATTAGAGTTTCCTCATTCTCTAGCTAAGAGGTCTTCAACGTTTTCCAGGCCAAGGACCCCAAACTGATGGTGAGATGGAGCGGGGACCCCTAATTATATACATGGTGTGAAATAGTGTTCTATCAAACTGGTCCTATAGTCACTCTATTACAGATGGAGTAATGTAACTAAAGTAATCCCTCCCTGGGATTATTAAAGTATTTCTGATTCCTGGTTGATGGGACAGGTGTTGTGAATGAAACGGTGTCCAGCTTGAAAGAGCTCCTGTGTGTCGCTGAATGTGAGCATTGATGACTGAAAGACATCTTCTGCCTCCATTTATCTGTTTACTACAGTCTGTTGAATTCATGTTAATGTGGATTTAAAGACATTTCAATTAGTGGAAAAAACTGCAGGGGGGGGAATAAAAAAAAAAAAAAAAACGTCTAATCAACCTAAACTTCCACGACCCCCCATGCAGTACCTCTATGGACCCCTAGGGGTCGCGGACCCCCTGTTGGAGACCTCCGCCCTAAATTCTATTCCGAACACACGGCTTTACGATCAAACAGAAGCAGTTACATCTGGTATATCTAACTAAATTGTTTTTATAAACCTTTTTTTTTTAAATAAAGCATCATATTTTAAAACATAAACATAAAACATAATATTTTAATGAATTTTAATGAATAATGGCGGAAAAGGTCTGTCAGCAGTGCTAGCATTACCTTCGGTGCGGATGCAGAGAGGCTGGGTGTAGCTGCTGCTCTTGTTGTAGAAATCGTAGAGCGACTGGACCTGCACGCAGTACAGCGTCCATTCTTTGAGGTTGGGCAGGTTCACCAGGTTGTTCGGCAATTTTAACGCCCTCAGATCCAAAACCTGAAAGATACCAGGAGAAAAGGTTCATTTACACTCGTTTGTCCCACAGCAGGATATCTGTGTATCTTAAATAAATAAAGATCCTTATTCTGAATATCCGCTCCCTTCACATCAGTATCAGTATTGGCAACATCTTCCCAAAACTGGGAAAAGTTGCAGCGCTGCCAGAAGAAGAAGACGACCCACATCCTGTTCTCTGGTTTAAGGACAGCAATGCCCACTAATGTTGGAGCAACCAAGCAGACGTTAGCCTGGCGCTAACAGGACCTCAGCTCAGCTGGAACATCACAGCAGAAAGCCTTAAGGTGCCGCTGTGGTTTCCCCCCCCTGTTTTTGTCCACTTTAACCAATTAAAAATCCAGCCGCCTCTCAGATGCATAATAGGCAGAAATATTGATTTTATTTCTGTGATGAATCATTGTCAACAACTGCATCTAGTCTTTGTCTAGACAGCGAAAAACTTCTCATTTTTTAGTCCTCTAAGAGCCTTTCTGTCTGGTTATCGTCTTGTAAAAAGGTTTAATTTGTGCTGCACTATTAGTAAAGGAGGCTAACACTAGTTTTAGCTAAATATAGCTGAAAATGTAGGGCTTCAACTAATGACTATTTAGCAAATTAATTAATCTATTGATTGTTTTTTAAATTAAGCCATAAACATCAGACAACCAAACGTTCCTAAAAGAAGATTTTTACTAAATTAAATCAGGTGGAGATCTAGATAGAGCATATTGACAGAAGAAGATATTTATTTTTATCTTAAATTTAATTTTCTTTTAGAATTTAGTATTAATTTCTGCTCTAAGTTGGTCGTTCTGTCAGCTAAAGACACATTTTAGAGTTAGCTAATGATTAATGGATTACTAAGATAGTTTACTATTATTTCAATAATTGATTAATCAGATTAATAGTGTCAGTCCTAGAAACGTTTCGATAGATTTCCAAGGTGCCTCCAGACTAGGCTCCTCTGATGATCTGTGGCTCCCAGATGAAAGGAGTAAGAACCTTTACAAGCCGCCACAGATTCTAGTCTGCAACAAAGGGAGCGATGCACCTTTGTTAGAAAACCTTGCGGCAGGAAGCGATGGCCCAGCATGAAACCGTTTTTATTTTTCACATGATGCAGGAAGCACCTGAGCAGGGTTTCCGCTCCAGTTAACAAACCAACATAGAAACAGCAAAGAGGAGAAGCCTGAGTTTATTAGAAGCCGTTATTAAACAAACGCTGCTCAAGCTTCAGCAGAGGCTCAGGACAGAGAGGAGAGGGGAGGCTCAGGATGGAGAGGAGAGGAGGGGAGGCTCAGGACGGAGAGGAGAGGAGGGGAGGCTCAGGACGGAGAGGAGAGGGGAGGCTCAGGACAGAGAGGAGAGGGGAGGCTCAGGACAGAGAGGAGGGAGGGGAGGCTCAGGACAGAGAGGAGGGAGGGGAGGCTCAGGATGGAGAGGAGAGGAGGGGAGGCTCAGGATGGAGAGGAGAGGGGAGGCTCAGGATGGAGAGGAGAGGGGAGGCTCAGGACAGAGAGGAGAGGGGGAGGCTCAGGACGGAGAGGAGAGGAGGGGAGGCTCAGGATGGAGAGGAGAGGGGAGGCTCAGGATGGAGAGGAGAGGGGAGGCTCAGGACGGAGAGGAGAGGGGAGGCTCAGGATGGAGAGGAGAGGAGGGGAGGCTCAGGACGGAGAGGAGAGGGGAGGCTCAGGATGGAGAGGAGAGGAGGGGAGGCTCAGGATGGAGAGGAGAGGAGGGGAGGCTCAGGACGGAGAGGAGAGGGGAGGCTCAGGACAGAGAGGAGGGAGGGGAGGCTCAGGATGGAGAGGAGGGAGGGGAGGCTCAGGATGGAGAGGAGAGGAGGGGAGGCTCAGGACAGAGAGGAGAGGGGAGGCTCAGGATGGAGAGGAGAGGGGAGGCTCAGGATGGAGAGGAGAGGAGGCTCAGGATGGAGAGGAGAGGGGGAGGCTCAGGACGGAGAGGAGAGGAGGGGAGGCTCAGGACGGAGAGGAGAGGGGAGGCTCAGGATGGAGAGGAGAGGAGGGGAGGCTCAGGACGGAGAGGAGAGGAGGGGAGGCTCAGGACGGAGAGGAGAGGGGAGGCTCAGGATGGAGAGGAGAGGAGGCTCAGGACAGAGAGGAGGGAGGCTCAGGACAGAGAGGAGGGAGGCTCAGGACGGAGAGGAGGGGAGGCTCAGGACGGAGAGGAGAGGAGGGGAGGCTCAGGACGGAGAGGAGAGGAGGGGAGGCTCAGGACGGAGAGGAGAGGGGAGGCTCAGGATGGAGAGGAGAGGAGGCTCAGGACAGAGAGGAGGGAGGCTCAGGACAGAGAGGAGGGAGGCTCAGGACGGAGAGGAGGGGAGGCTCAGGATGGAGAGGAGAGGGGGAGGCTCAGGACAGGGGAGGCTCAGGACGGAGAGGAGGGGAGGCTCAGGACGGAGAGGAGGGGAGGCTCAGGACGGAGAGGAGAGGGGGAGGCTCAGGACGGAGAGGAGAGGGGGAGGCTCAGGACGGAGAGGAGAGGAGGCTCAGGATGGAGAGGAGGGGAGGCTCAGGACGGAGAGGAGAGGGGGAGGCTCAGGACGGAGAGGAGAGGGGGAGGCTCAGGACGGAGAGGAGAGGAGGCTCGGGACGGAGAGGAGAGGAGGCTCGGGACGGAGAGGAGAGGGGAGGCTCAGAATGGAGAGGAGAGGAGGCTCGGGACGGAGAGGAGAGGGGAGGCTCAGGATGGAGAGGAGAGGAGGCTCAGGACAGAGAGGAGGGAGGCTCAGGACAGAGAGGAGGGAGGCTCAGGACAGAGAGGAGGGAGGCTCAGGACAGAGAGGAGGGGAGGCTCAGGATGGAGAGGAGAGGGGGAGGCTCAGGACGGAGAGGAGAGGAGGCTCGGGACGGAGAGGAGAGGGGAGGCTCAGGACGGAGAGGAGAGGGGGAGGCTCAGGACGGAGAGGAGAGGAGGCTCAGGATGGAGAGGAGAGGGGGAGGCTCAGGATGGAGAGGAGAGGAGGCTCAGGATGGAGAGGAGAGGAGGCTCAGGATGGAGAGGAGAGGGGGAGGCTCAGGACGGAGAGGAGAGGGGGAGGCTCAGGACGGAGAGGAGGCTCAGGATGGAGAGGAGAGGGGAGGCTCAGGACGGAGAGGAGAGGAGGCTCAGGATGGAGAGGAGAGGGGGAGGCTCAGGACGGAGAGGAGAGGGGGAGGCTCAGGACGGAGAGGAGGCTCAGGATAGAGAGGAGGCTCAGGACGGAGAGGAGGGGAGGCTCAGGGTAGAGCGCAGAGGGGAGGCTCAGGATGTAGCGCAGAGGGGGAGGCTCAGGACAGAGAGGAGGCTCAGGACAGAGAGGAGAGGGGAGGCTCAGGACGGAGCGCAGAGGGGAGGCTCAGGACGGAGCGCAGAGGGGGAGGCTCAGGACGGAGCGCAGAGGGGGAGGCTCAGGACGGAGCGCAGAGGGGGAGGCTCAGGACGGAGCGCAGAGGGGGAGGCTCAGGACGGAGCGCAGAGGGGGAGATTCATGACGTCCGCTCACCAGGAGTTGTTGAACACCTACCTTCCCATTTTCAGCCTGTTCCCAGTAAACAATGTTGAAGTCCAGTTTAGGAATATACTCCCTCATGGAGGTGTTGGTGCTGGTCTGAGGGTCCGTGATGGAAACATCCAGAGAGCTAACATCAAGAACCAGCCGCACTTTAGAGGGAGGTCCAAGAACAGCTGGAGAAGAAAGGAACATTTGTTAACTACCAAACTACGAAATGAATTTATAATAAACTGGGAATATTAGGGTGGCGAGCTCTTTAAAAGGAGGAAGTACAGAGTACACTAGTAAATATGAGATGTTTTAGAACAAAGGGGTGACGTGGGTATGAAGCCGTCCTATTATTGAACCACTGGAAGAAGCTAAAATAATGTTTGGAGATCTTTAAATAGTTCTACGTTCAGACTGAAAACACTGTCCTTTGGAATAACCGATAAAAACATTCAACAAAGATTTAAGCAGGGAAATGGAATCAAGACAGAGTTTAAAGGTAGAAACCCTCAGAAAGGAGAACTGGTCTGATGTTTATATCGAGGTCGTAAACCTGAATCTGAGAAATCAAGAGAATTTGGTAAGAAAGGTCGTTTCCTCAGACTTTGTCCGGAACATTTCCTCTTCCCTTAAGTTACGTGACTATTCTTTGTTTACTTCGTGTCATTGATTTTTATTTTTGATTTCATTCTTTATCGGTTGGTATTTTGAGGTTTTATTCTGTAAGAACAACCTTAAATTTCTAAATGAAGAAGGAAATATGTGATGCTTGATTGTAAACATCATAAATATAAAACTATAATAAAAAAAAAAAAAAGGTTGATGTTATGATGCAGCTCGATAATGTGCATAAAAAACATCAAAAGTGGATTAAGTCTTCTGGAAAACTCCGTCTAAGAGGATCTTAATCAACGTTTTGAGATTCAAAAAGAGGAATTTCAGCCGTTAGTTCCTGATTATGGAGACGCGGAGATGTGGAACGTTGGCTTGTTTGGAGCAGAAAGCAGATGAAAAATCTGAAACTTTTGTTTATTTTCTTGTTACTGAGGTAAGGAACGCCTGTCGTTATTTAGAACATTTGTGACCAAAAGGAACCCAAGGTCAGAGGTCAGGCTCAGTGGTGGAGGAGTAATGATCAGGGCTTCTTGTCTCACCTTCTTTATCAGGACAGAACTGTTTTTGGCTCCAATCAGAGTGGCGTCCATCCATGTTGGCGCGAACGCGGAGCACATAAATGCCCAGGTAGAGGATCTGAAGCTCAGTGAGGTCACATGACCTTTCAGATGTCTCTGAACACGCCAGGTTCCACCTCGGGTTCCTCCGCCTCAGCTGGTGGATCCTGGGATGAGATGTGAAAAAAATAAAATACATAAAACATCATACTCAAGCTTATTTGTTGTAGTCCCTCTGTTCACACGGACGTTTGTTTCTACATGGAGAACTAAGTGGAATGGGGAACGCAGCTATTTGTCCAGTCTGGTGGATTTTCTGTCATCTTAAGGCGGCGACTTACCCGATATATTGTACAGTGAAGGTGACCTGGTCTGCTCCAGCAGAGCTCTGGTCCCAGTCCCATTCCCAGTCCCAGTCCCAGACCAGAGTGTAGTTGGTGTTCAAGGTGATCATGTTGAGGTTGCTGGGAGGAATCAGCTCTGCTTCACCTGTAACAGAAACAATCGATATGAGATCAGGAGAAGCTGGACATCCAGATGAGCCAACAGCTGGAGCTTTAAGAGGTCCACTCAGGAGGTTCAGCTCAGTCCAACTATTTTAAATTTTTAAAGAAGCGGCTGTTCCAAACGCTGCATTTCTGAATTCTCCCGAGTGGTGCCCGACTTCACACGAGTGAATAAAGTGAATTTGATTGGTTGTTTATCAAGGGGGCGGGATTGTTGTGGCAGAAGCATCTTGCTAACCAGTTAGCAACTTAGTGCAAGCAGGTTCCCAATGGGAAATTCCATTGGGACCAAGTAGCACTAAATTGGTGACTTAGAAACGACGCTGTCAAGGAACGCTATGGACAGCGGAAACATGCAAGAGGAGGAGAGTTTAGTGTCGGAGGTCGTGGATGAGTCTCCTCCGTCATCCATTTTTTATTTAGAGGAGGAAAGCGGGGACGAAGATGTTGTGGAAGAGGACGCCAGGGCGGCAGAAGCTTGGTTTGGTGTAGAAGGCTTCCAGCCGTACATGTTTGAGCCCTTGCCTCGCAACGCTGCCAGTTCTGTTAGCTCTACGCCTGCCGAAGACACAGACGTCCATCCCCGTGAACACTGGGACGCAACTCAATAGGAAAGGAAAGGATTCTGATTTCAACCGTTGCGTATATTAGCTGCGACATATGAATCAAGATGCTATGACCGAAAACATTAGATTGACCGTTGATATATGATTGGCCGAATTTAGGTGTTCAGGCTGACGTAGAACTAACTGGCCTGCAGAACGACACCGATTTTAAGACAGGATTTTTTTTTTTTTTACTTTAATTTTTCTAACTTTTGGGACAATATCATCTGATAAAGAGAACATTTATATACATGTTTAAGCCAGAATGATTTGACATTTAAATACGACTTCCCTACAACTTTAAACAAGACTTTTTACTAAATTAAACCCGGTGAAACTAAAACTTTTATACTTGAGGAGTCCTGGATTAAGCATATAGACTTTTTATCTTAAATGCAAAATGTTTATATAATGTTTTGTTATAGTTACTGCTCTAAGTGGGTCGCCCTCTCATCTAAAGGCAAGTCTCTATACTCCAGTTGATGATTAATTAATTACTAAGTTAGTTGATGATTATTTAAATTCAATTACATTTATTTCTATAGCTCCAATTCACATCATGTAATCTCAAGACACTTTCCAGTTCACCAGATCATCCAGTCAGATTGATTCAAAGTTTTCTAAGGAAAACCAGCTGATTGCATCGACTCATTGACTCTTCAGCAATCCCTCACACTAAGCATGCTTGTAGCGACAGTGGAGAGGAAAAACTCCCTTTGAACAGGAAGAAACCTCCAGCAGAACCAGGCTCAGTGTGAGCGGCCATCTGCTGAGGCCCACTGGGGTTCAAGGAGACAGAAGCAGAGATAGAAATAGAAGCATAGATGCAAAAAGCAGCTCCACAGGCGGCCCCGTCCAGGAAACACACAGCCAGGCTGACGAGCTCCGAGCCAGCTCCCATGTCAGAGGATGAAGAGAGCACATCCAGTTAGTCACAGTCAGAGAAACAGGACTACACTGGAAAACAGGCCAAGCTCCAACATCTAGAAACAAAGGTGTTGATGGCAGCAGCACAGCTGATATTTCTCTCCAGGATGGAGTCACAGCCAAACAGGAACAGACCAGATGAAGCTACTATGAGAAAAAGCAGAGAGAGCAGAACGTTAGAGATTGAACTAACAGATTCTGCAGAGTGGGAGAATAGAGATAGAATGATGCAGAATGATGAAAAAGGGGTCCCTATGTCCTCCAGCAGTCTAAGCCTAAAGCAGCATAACTATAGAGATAGCTCAGGATAACCTGAGCCACCCTAACTAGAAGCTTTATCAAAAAGGAAAGTTTTAAGCCTAGCCTTAAAAGTAGACAGGGTGTCTGCCTCACGGACTAAAACTGATAGTTGGTTGATTTAATTAATCAACCATAGATATTTGAAAACATAAAATAAAAAAAGAGCAAACTATAAAAATATAGGCTGAAATGTCCCATAAAGGAATGAGGTTAATAAGGTCATGGCTTCAACTCAGACCATTAAAAACAGGCTCTCTACAAGCCAGCTGCATATAATCCAATTGAAAACATGCGGTCACTAAAGTGGCGTCTTAAACAGCGCTGGACGCTCTTCTCAGTGAGAAATAAACCCCTAATTCATCCTTCCAGGCAGAGATAAACTGGGCGTCTGCCTTTTTTACCCAGATGTTGCTGACAGACTGTTATGGAGTCTCATTCTGTGTAAATTGATTCTGGGACCGTTTCTTTAGTCATAACAGAAGTCAAACATTGAAAGCAGGATCCTCTTCGATGAATCAAGGTCAGCCGAACTGTGTGAGAGACGCTGAAACCTCGGCAGCGCTCATGTGAGGAACTGACTCATTCTGAAACCTGTTGCACAACCTCACCAGTCTTTGGGCACGGCAGCGAGAGACGCATAAAAACAGCCTCATTCCAAAAGGACTTCCTGTTTTTGTTTTATGGTGTTTAGTCACCTAAGAGGAATGACACCAGCTTGTTGCGACTGGTTTCACAGTTTCCGGAATTAGCAAAAAGCCTTCATGTGATTCCGGTTTGCTTGAATATTAACAAACCTTCCCACACAAATGTTTTTATTTCCACATGAACAGCTGTCCAGCCCTGTAATCTGTGGAGTCCTTCATTCCTCTTTTCTTCTGGGACTTCAGTTCAAGAGAAGACAGACGGCAGAAAAAGACGACACCAAAAAAAACCTACTTCCTTTATTCAGTTTCACTCAGTATTCCTAAGTTAGTGGACTTTAACGCGCTCTGGATGCTGAGTTCGTAGGAATATCAATGGTTCCTCGTTGAAGTTTCTCAGATTTGAACCAATTGGGGGTTTTCTTTAATTCCACTCATCTGTTTCCAGAAAACTATCCAGAAACTAGACCCCACCGACATTTAGAGTCGCTCCAACCAAACGCCAGGCTGAGAAATTAGGACAATATAAACTGGAGTAAAACCAGTAAAACCATAATGTGTGACCGAGCACACCATTGTAAATTCCTTTATTGTCCCACATGCAGGGATGGGCAATTTAAAAATGTATTAAAATAAAATACTGTATTTTTGTATTTTCAAAATACTACAAAATACTTCATTCTAAGAGGCTTTTTCTGGGACGTAACTCAATGGTAAAGTAAAGAATTCTTATTTCAACTGTTGCGTATATTAGCTGCAACATATGAATCAAGATTTTATGAGCGAAAAATTCTGATTGAAAGATGACCGTTGATATATGATTGGCCGAATTTAGATCAGGGTTCCTACAGCATAAGGCAAGTTAAATTCAAGACTTTTTAATGCCACTTGAAATAAAAAATTTAAACAAACAACAAAAACCTGCTTGCGAGAACTTAACCCAAAGGTTTATTTTAACATAAACCACTGCACTAATGTTTCAAACTTTGAAAAGCTTCCCATACAGGAAGAAAGCTAAAAACACACAAATGACAGATATATTTGAACAATTATTTAACTGAATTCACAAACTTTGTTTTAGCAGCGAACAAAACAAATCAGTTTTAAAGCCACAACATAACCAGTGCTAAGTCTTTTTTGCAGCTATTTTTCTTTGTATGGTTTTCTTAGTATGTTTGATTTGGTGATAAGTGGAGGCGTTGCAGAGACAAGGGTGGAACTAAATGGAGAAATACCGGCTGTTTCTCGGTTACTCCATTTTGACGCTTTGTGTTTCGTGCTTCGCATGTGCGACTCCACTGCCTTAATTCCCATCGTTCTGAGCTTGAATGACTTCTTGTGCCTCATGTTTGTTCCCTGGTTTTAGCCATGGAGGAAACTCTTGGCTGGAAACAATTTTGGTTACATTTACACTTGCTCATATTTTCCAGACAAAAAGTTAATGGTGCATCTCCCAAATGTCCCGGCCGCAACAACGCTTTATTGGTTCCGCTATCGGGACGGAACCAATAATGGCGAGCCGTTAAAAAAAAAAAAGGTCAATTTTAATGTTTTATTTAGATTACAAACTGATTTAAGACATTTTAATACCAATTAAGGCCTTAGTTTTATTTTGAAGAATTCAATGCCTTTTAAGACTTTTTAAGGACCCGAGGGAACCCTGTTAGATGTTCAGGCTGATGTAGAACTAACTGGCCTGCAGAAGATAACGAAAAAAACCCACAGATTTTAAAGCAGGATTTTTTTTTAAATAGAAATTTTCTAACTTTTGGGACAATATTGTCTGATAAAGAGTACATTTATATCGATGTTTACGCCACAATGATTTGACATTTAAATATGACTTCCTTACAACTTTAAACTAAACTTTTTACTAAATTAAACCTGATGAAACTAAAACTGTTTTACTTGAGGAGTCCTGGATTGAGCATATAGACAGAAATTTTTTCACTTGTAAACTATCTGGAAAAACATCAAAGTAACAAAACAAGAAAAGTAACTTCAGTTCCTTTGAACTGTACCGAGTACAATATTACTGAAATTGTATTGGGAATGCCTTACATTGCTGCATTACTGCAAAAAGTAATGCATTACTATAGCCTAATTAAAGTACTCTTTTACTGCATTACTCCAAACACAGATATTGTGTCGGCTACATACAGTCAACAGTAGAACATTATGTAGTTACATTTCTAAGAAAAACTAAATGAAATCGGCCAAAACTAGCCAACTACAAGCAGCGGAGAAGGTCACCTGTGGCGCTGCAGCAGCTCACACATTAACAATGAGATACAAAGTTCCTCCGTTATTAGGTTATAGGCTAATTACATGAAACAAAAGGACACTGCATAACATAAAAACTTGAATGTTTGAATGTTCACTGGTGAAATCAACAACAGTGAAACTAACACAGTTAGTTAGCAGCTAACATTTAAAATTTAAATAGCTTAGCCTTACGAACACTGAACGTTACACTGAACAGGAACATGCGATAAAAAGAGTGATTGATGGTTGAGAAGAAATGAGTTAGTGAAAGAAACGAGGTAAATTTGTCTGCTCACCCTGCTTTGAAACAACTTCCTTTACTGGTCCACACAAAGCACCAATCTAATCAATCTAATATGCAGCGACGTGCAGGGCTCGATGTTAACCATCGCCTGATCTCCCGGGGCAAGTAGTTTTTATTGTTGGGAGAGTACAAATTTCATTGCATTTGTCCGCCGGGCAAGTGCAATGATCGCAAAAAGAAATTATCACTCAAAATTACTTTAAAATCACCGACATTCGATGAAAACGACCCAGAAGTGTTTTTGTTGTTTTGTACACATTCTCTCGTGATTTGAAAAATGCAGAACTATATTTATCAAACATTATACTGGGCAAGTAAAAATTGTTTCTGGGCAAATGAAATGTGAAAGTCACTTGCCCGAAGGGCAAATGGTAAAAATCCTTAACATCAACCCCTGCCGTGCGTTTTGTGTTGATTGTACGATGTGCCCATAGCAAGTGTAAAACAGTGCCAAAATTCCCTAGTGGCTGGGAGCAGTATTACAGGGACTTGATGGCGAAGGTGCCACTGACACTATTTCATGCTTTCTAGATAACTAGATGCCACAACAGACTGTGTCTCGTAAAAAGTCTTTTACTGTTTTTTGAAAATACAAAAATACACAGCATAGAAGTGTTTTGATAAAAAATACAAAGGCTTTCCGTAAAAGTTCAAAAAACAATCCACTGGACTTGGTTTCCAATGTTTGAAGACGTTTCGCCACCTCTCCAGGAAGCTTTCTCAATTCATTTAATTTTGAGACGATTAATCGTCTCAGCCATATAAATCTAACAATTTTTGAAACACAGATTTGCTCAATATTTGTCACATTACTTTTAAAAAGATAAAGACACTGACTTCATTTCTCCGTTCAGCCTTTAGGTGGCAGTAATGAGCCTTTGATGGGTTTGCCGCCACATGGAACGGAGGAGGGAGTTTATAGCCGACCTATGCGAGTAGAAAGAAGCCCTTTGCTAAACAACGGTAACGTCCTCTGACTGGACCCGGGCTGCAACTAACCATTATTTCGCAAATTGATTAATCTGTCGATTATTTTTCCGATTAATAATCGGATAGCCAAAGGTTCCTTAAAGATTTTTTTTAACGAAATCAAACCGGATAAAAGTAAAATGTTTTCACTTGATGAGTTCTGGATAGAGCAGATTCTAATGTTTATATATATTTTTTAACGATATGGATATAATTACTGCTCTAAGCGGGTCACTGACCGCTGAAGGCATGTTTTACCGTCTCTATAATCCATTTAATGATTAATAACTAAATTAGTTGATCATTACTTCAATAATCAATTAATTGTAATTAATCCGATTGATTGTTTCTGCCCCAGGCGGGACTCTGGAGAAGCAGCCACTGAAGGTCATGAAAACAGTGAAAAATTGCCATGATGGGCGGAGCAAAAAAGAAAAAATCAAAATCCAACTTTGGTTTTTAAAAGTCACTCAGCCCCCTTTTTTTTTTTTTACTTCTGAAACTTCATAACCTTCATCCAGACGAGTCGGTTTTCAGAAAGAACAGTTGTGTGGTTAAATGTGAGTAAAAACGACAGATTTATCACTCAGGCGTGTAGCGTGATATAAGTGGAGATTTACACGAGCTCCTTTAGTTTCCACGCCTCCATTCTGGGACTTTTCTATCGTCACAAACCACTGAATGACTCCTTCCTCAGAGATCAAACTCTGGTGAACTCAGACTGGAAAGAAAACAGCCAGGTTGATATTTAGCTGTCACGATTTGAATATAAATATACATTTTTTCTAACTTTAGATAATTTTCCAACAATCAAAGCAGCCTTTATACTAAATACTTTATTGCTCTTACATGTACGGCTACTTCCTAATTCTATTTGGGTGAAAAGGGGCTGTGGTTTTAGTCGATCGCACTTTTTGGTTCCTTTACCCGCCTTTGGATGAGTTTATGAGATATTATAACACAAATAGAGTCTGGTTATTATTAGGAAAACTCATAGAGACCCCAGCTTAGAGGAAAAATATGCAGAAAAAAAGACTTAAAAATAGGAAACATAGAAGGAGAAGCACGGGGTGAACGGGTGACCTCATGTGCTCTAAATCATAAGAAAACTTTTTAAAGCTAAAAAGAAAAGCAAAATAAAACACAAAGACATTCTGTTCAAGACGGTGAGGGAGAAAAATTAAAACTGCCTCTCTCATGCCTTCTTCTCCCACCAATACATCATCAACTTCTCTTCTTTTTACCACCATTCTTTATCAGGGTTATGCTGTAGTAGCATTTTGGTGAAATAAAAGAAATAACCCACAAAAAATAAAAAATAAAGCGCAGAATGTTGGAAAAACTGTAAATCTAATTTGTCTTAAGTTTACATTTTATCACTGCTGCACTTTAAGAAGTTGAAATGTCTTGAGAGCTGAACTGAATAAATTTTTGTATACACCCTGTGTACACAATATGACAAAGTTTGTCTAAGGCTGTGTCTAAGAAATACAGTTAAACAATTCAAAAACATGCCTCAAGTTCTACATAATAAATGATTATCACATCAAATCTGACGAACCGATTGTTGAAGTAATTGTGAACTGATCTGGCAACTGAATCAAATACTTACAGATAATAATGGTTCAGAAAGTCTAAAATGTCATGTAAATCCCTTAATTTTCCCACACAGGGGAAACTCGCTCTGCATTTAACCCAGTGGGCTGCCATTGTGCGGCGCCCGGGGAGCGGTGTGGGGTTAAGGGTCTTGCTCAGGGACTCAGTGCAGGCTGTGGGGATCAAACCGGGTATTTGCAACCTTCTCAGAGCACAAGCCCACTGCTCTAACCACTAGGCCAACACTTCCAATGCCATTAGCTACAAGAATCAACTAGTAACAGCAATAATTACGGCAAAACTCTAGCAAATACTATGTATATTTTTCATTTAAAATCATATGTATATTTTTATTCATATATATATATATATATATATATATATATATATATATATATATATATATATATATATATATATATATATATATATATGCATGCAGATCTTTACAATTTAAACTTCAAAATGCACACTTAAGTTTTTTATATATGTCCAAATTCTAAACATTATCTAGAAATAAAATCTCTTCATATCCATAGAATAATAAAAAAAAGTAGCAGCTCTACTATTTATAATTTAATGTCTCCAAACATTTTTATATTAGATTCTATTTTCTCATTTTAGAATAAAGCAGAGAAAATATTGAGGTTAGAGGTTGATGCAGACATTAGAGATGAAGCCACGAGGGTCTCTTTGAAATCTACGCCACAAGATCACTGTGGTCACACCAAGAACAAGAAACTGTCACTGTGCACTCAGAAAATGGATAAACTCATTTAAAAAGGGGCAAATATTTAATATCTGTCATAATCTGAACCGATGATCAAACATTAACTCAAAGGAAGATGTTTAATTAAACCTCTAATTGTTTTTATTAGGGGATAATGTTTGTTTTTGGAGAGCAAACAGGACAGATGTTAGAGGAGATAATGTTTATCAGACTGGATGAGGAAGAACAGAGGTCCTCTGAGGTCAACCTCCCTGGAGAAGAAATGCTTCTATTAAAGCTTTGATTGGTTTAAAGTATTTGGATGTTTTTCAGTATTAGGATACATCATTGGGATTGTTTAATGGCCGCCCAATGCGGAGCTTCAAACAAAAACACTTTCTGTTTCCTTTCCACGCCGAACCCTTTTAAAAAAAGACAAAATTAAAATTTATCAGGATATAAACACCTATGCGCGGAACCAGGCTGATGTTTTATTTATTATACAGTGAAAAAAGGCAGTTATTATTAATTCCGTTTCTTTTATTTATCCAAATAAAGTACTACGGAGGGTTAAAAATAGTGCTAAATAATCTTAAATCACACCGAGGTTAGCGTAGCAGCGTTAGCATAGAAATAGACTCACCAGAACCGCTCTGAAGGCCCACAAACAGAAGGCAGAGAAGCCCGGTCAACATGGTTGATATTTTTATTCTATCAACCTGTTTAAACTTCTGTTAGGTGGTCATTGAACTGGTTCCGATCAGGTCCCCCGGTCCGCTTCGATCAGCGCTGCTCGAAGCGACTCTAAACTTCTTCTTCTTCTTCTTCTATTGAGTTTTCTGGCAGTTTGCATCCTGTGTGCATTACCGCCATCAACTGGACGGAGATGTAATTCAGAAATATGTCTGTATATCTTTATATCTTCATGAAACTAAATTCTATCTATACTTACACACACGCACATACACACACTAAATTCTCCCAGCTAATTCTGTATCTTTTAAATATTTAATAAGTGCTTTAATTATCTTATCTGATTGATGCTTCCCTAATAAATCTGCCATCTTTACTGAACTCCCCATTACCCTTTCCAGTTCTTTCCTCTCTTTTGTATATTTGCTACAATAGATCAACACATGTTCTACTCCTTCGATTTCTCCGCAATAACAACAATTACCCGTTGGATGTTTCCCTATTATTTTTAGACCTGCATTTAAACTAGTATGCCCAATCCTTAACCTGTTTATCCATATTCCTCTCTTCTACTCATTATACTGTTATATCCTATGCTAATATCTTTATGTATTTTATATAAATGTCTTCCTTTTTTTCTAAATTCCATCTCTTCTGCCATACCTTATTTATTTTATCTTTAATAATTACTTTTATTTCTGTTCTACTTAGCGGGACATCATATTCAATTTCTCCTACTTTAACTGCTTCTTTAGCTAACTTATCTACTTTTTCATTACCTAAGATTCCGACTCTAAACTTCCTGCATCTTCTTGTTTTTTCTTCTCTGAAGTTTCAGCGGAGCTAACAGAGTTTGATGCGCGCCCCCTAGTGGTTCTAACTGGGATCACTCGTTATACACTTTCTTCTTTTCTATTGTGGCAGAGCGCAAGCAACTTTAAGGTGCATACCGCCACCTGCTGTATATGAGTCTGTAGCAACATTACTTTACATCAAATTCTATTTTTTAATTTTGTATTCTGTAGATAAATGAATAATGCTTTCCTTAATTAGACTTTACTTTGTCGTTTTGTATGTATACAAAAATAAATTTCGTTTAGTACAGCTCACTAGACTGTTTCATTTTTTAAAGTGCGTAAAGTAAAGTTTTAAATTACATTAAAATTCTATCCTGGATTTAACAGGAAGCCAATGAAGAGAAGCCAGGATAGGAGAGATATGATCTCTCTTTTTCATTTTCATCAGAACTCTGGCTGCAGCATTTTGGATCAGCTTCACCTTGAAGTAACAAATACATGGACTAGTTTCTCAGTATCCCTCCTGGACAGGAGATTTCTAATTTTTGCAATATTCCTCAGATGAAAGAAGGAAATCCTAGAAACCTCTTTGATCTGGGATTTAAATGACAGGTCCTGATCAAAAATAACACCAAGATTTTTTTACTTTATTATCTGAAATCATTTTAATCCCATCCAAATATAGTGACTGACTAATCAGCTTCTTTTTCAAAGACTCTGGTCAGTTCTAGTGAGGACGCAGGCAGCAGCGTCTGGATCAGCTGCAGCTGTCTGATCTACTGTGAAGGGATCACTTAGACAACTTTTATTGTTAAATTTCATTTTGTACAGCTTTAATGAAATTTCCATTCCATAAAGTGCAGCGGTGATCAAATGTAAACAGTCTGGGAGAAAAAATCATGGTGCAAAAATCATGGAGCATTAAATATATATGGTGAAAATCTGCAGTGTTTTGGTTTGGTGATGATCAGTTTGATGCAGATTCTGTGACATCATTTAGAGTTTTTTCATCAGTTCAGCAGGAAATTTGTTTCCCTTTTAAAAAGCCAACATTTAATTTGTGTTTTTTTTTATTTATTTTTTAGAATAAAGAACATAAGAAGGAAATATGGATTTTCTGAATGTTTAAATCTGTGAATAACTATGTATAGCAAAGCACACAGTCTGTGAGCCAATGATGGAAAATATAATAGATCTTAAAAACATAGTTACTTTTTGATCTTATTCTGTCATGGAAATTCTATTTTATTATACCTTGAAATCACTTCTAAAACTGGAATCTATTATACTGCATTCAAACTATTACGTCATTCTGAAATATTTTAGCAGCAATTAAGATCCATTGCAGAAGATCCAGAGCAACTTTTAATCATTTTAATCATTTATAGGGAAAGTTTTTGATCATTTGCATACCTTTTAAAGATGGAGTCGCCCCGTCCCTCAGTGAGGTCTAGAAGCACAAGATCTATACCCATCCATTCAGCAAAGATCCTGCTACATGTGCGGCAAAAAGTATAAATCTAACTAAGTAATTTTCTTCTTAAAATAAGTACTTTTGTTCTTGAATTGAGGGGGAAAGGGAGATACTTTGCCAATCAAACAAGACAATTTAATATTTAAAATAAGAAAAGGCCATTGCTTTGTCTCATTTCAAGTGCATATTATCTAATTATTTTATTTTAAGAGTAAAAATACTAATTCTATTGGCAAATCATCTGATTTACTTGCTCAAATTAAGGGTAAATACACTTGATTTAAGACATTTTTACTCATTTCTAGATCATTTTTGCAGTGTGGCTGAACATCTGATTTAGGCATTTGACCAATTAGATGAGCCTTTACATGATATATTACCTACTGTAAAATAAGTTGAAAAAAAGTCAAGAAAAAAAAGGTAAAAAACTATTTGAAAAGTTAAAAAGTAAAGATAAAAAGTTATTAAGACTAGTTAACAATTAAATTTAGGTTTATAAACTAAAAAATGTAAGAGCTAGTATCAGCATTATATGGTTATGTTGCCCCCAAAAAAAGTGTTTTTCATGAATTTCTTATAGAAGCACTTTTGTTATTTTTCTTAATATATTTTGGCAAGTTGTTGTTTCTTGTGTCATTGACATACATTTTTGCTAGGGATGCACGATATTGGGATTTTGGCCGATATCCGATATGCCGATATTTTAAAACTCGTGTAGCCGATAACCGATATCGATACCGATGTTAAAGCTGGACAAAAATAAGTAGTCATTGAAAATAGCAGTTTTATTATCCATTTCTGACACTTTGAAAAATAATATACTCAAATATATTTTCATATGCTGATATCAAATCGATTTTTAAAAACGCGGTATCGATCTATTTTACTTTCAAAATCTCGTGAAATTTCATCGTTCTGTTACAAACTCTCGTGATATTTTGCAAATTCTTGTGAGATTTTGTTAGTCAAATAGATCGATACCGCGTCAATATATCTACATATAAAAATATGGCAAAATTTCGTGAATTTTTGGGGGATTTCGTAGCATAACGATGACATATAGCAATATTTCATTAGTAAAAGAGATTGATATGGTGTTTTTAAATGGCAATATATCAGCATATGAAGATATTGGGATATTTTAATGGATCAATATTTTTTCCCTCGTCTTTAGAAGTTTTTAAGTCTGTAAAAAAGAAGTTTTTGATGAAGAAGAAGAAGTAGTATTTTTTTTTTTTTTTAGACTTTAGAAACTCAGAAGCTGATCAAATATCGGGTTAAATATCGGTGGGGTGGCCGATGTCCGATATTCAGTTTTAAGGCCGATACCGATAGGGGGCCGATTATATCGGGCATCCCTAGTTTTTTTATAAGGGAAAGGAAATCAGGAGTTGATGTCTGAGAGCAGAAGCTTGGATATCTAGAAATCCAGCCCCCCATGGTGGGGATTTAAAAGCTCCATTGCAGGAGCCAATCTGCCTGTAATTCTCCACAAGAGGGAGCTATTCTAAGTGAAGAAAACTGCTTTTCAAAACACTAAAATTAGTTGACTATTCAGCAATGGTTAAGTTCTTACCAGTGTTGTTGTTATGCAGTGTGCGTTACTGAATTAGCACATTCCTTCCAGCAGAAAGTGAATTTTGTTCCATTATTGCTTTAGGTGAAGAAGACATTTTGTAAATGAAAATTTTAAAGAAATGTCATTTGGAAATTAAACTTTTCAAAGCAGCTTTCCTGTACGCTCACATTTATTTTTTCAAATTTTCTTAAATTTGAATCTCTTTTCAAATCTAGTTTTATAAATTGTATTCTTCTCGTCACCTTAAGCCTAATATAAACTTTCACTCTTCACCAATGTCCTAACATGCACTTTCTGTGTGTCTATTGACGAGAGGGAACCTTGTGCAAGAATCCAGCAGAACCTCAAGCTAACATTTGTACCTCGTAACTTTATATTTTTTATTTATAGTTTTTAAGTCTGTAAAAAAGAAGCTTTTGAGGAAGAAGAAGTAGTATTTTTTAGACTTTAGAAACTCAGAAGCTGATCAAACTATTCAGTTTTAAGGCCGATACCGAGAGGGGGCCGATTATATTGTGCATCCCTAATTTTTGCCATTAAAATATTCATATATTTTGACTGTTAAAAAACGTAATAAGGTCTTGTCCTGGATTACAAAAAAACTATTGGCTTGAAGTTTAAATTTTCAAAGTATTTCACTGAGTGCCCTGTAAAGGGTTAAAGCTACTTTAGCTCAGATATTGTTTTAATTGTATTTGTATTGTTTGTTGAAGCTCTTTGTGTTTTTCAGGAGCTGCTGTATTGATAAAGTTGAACTGTCTGGTGGTTTAATCTTAGCTGGGAGAGTTTGGAGCGCAGCTAACAAACCTGCTGCTTCCATCCAGGCTGACGGCCGTATGGAGGAGAGGAGAAACGGTTTAAGAATTTCAAACAGTGCAAATGTCTGATACAACCTTAAGAATGTCTGCAGGATTTCTTTCTTTTTTTAAAGCCGGGTCCAGAGTTCACCTGAAGGGGGTTTAGTTCTGCTCTGACGTCAATCAGGTAATAAAAAGGACAACTGAGCAAACAATAATAAAACAAACAGCTGTTTCATAAATCAGGAACTTTATTAGTTTGACACATAAAAAAAGGCTAAAACACAAAGAAAACCAACTTTCTTGTTAAATAAAGAGATGGACCAACCAGTAAAGGTTTCATTTTTAACATTTCCTGACTGGTTAAAGTGCAGAAATTCAAATATTAATTAGTTCATTTTTCTCTGCATATAAAAACGTTCATGTCCATA